TCGAAGCTTGTAAAACTGTAACATTTACTTTTGCACCTAGCCTATTTTACAGATCATGAGCTTTCGTTTGATGTATAATTCACTGCCATAGCATTTTCTGTTCTAAAGCTATTGTCATTTGGACGTAATTTTTCGTACCCTATTTTCTACTCTAGTCCCCCTGTTTTGGACATAATTGTATTTTCCTAATTATTGTACGTTGTGGTCAGGTTATTCACCTATTTATTCATGTAACTTTTCACCTTAATCTGAATTGGGAATTCGAGTGCTAGATCGCGGTTGGAATAAAGTGATTAGTGTTACAGCTGTTTTTGTCTTCTCTCCCTCTCGCGTGCTTGTCAGCCAATCAGGGATAGAATAGTTTTCGTCTCTCTACCCCCACTTCGAACTCACGCATACTAGGCTCAAGGTTAAGCCAGTCAGCCTATCGGGTCAAGGTCTTAATCTACATTAGACAAGTCATACTTGGCATTAAAGTGGGTAGAAAGATTCAAGGACGTAACATACATTCAATTGTTAGTCAGAGGGTAGTTTGAAGAAAGAAGTATATTTTTGAGTGATAGGTGAAGTAGAGTTGGTTGGTTAAGCAGTGTATTTAGGGAGTTGTCGGGAGGTTCAGTCAAAGAGATTTTGAGGCTATGGACAGTTATTGGTGAAGAGGAAGTTGTGTCAGATCCTCCATTGGGCCGGGGTATATAGAGAATGTTCTCAACAGGGTGACGTCATTGTTCTCAACATATAAAGACCACAGAGCAGCACTGCCAAGAAGGAGAGATAAAAAGGATGAGGTGGTGTGTGTGTCGAATTGGGGGACTAAAGAGCTGTTTAGGATAGCATAACTCAAACAGTGTCCGGAATCACAAGGTGTGTTTCGAATTAAGCTAATGTTGTAGTTTTCCTGTGAGTTTTGAGCCATTTTAACGATATTATGTGTAGTTGAGTATGTTGTATGTTTCAGTTTGGAGATTAAGAATTGGCTGAGATTGTTGCCAAGAGAAATGTTTTGTTGTGTGTGGTTTTTTCCTGACCTTTAGAGTTTTTAATTTTCATTCTTCAAAGCTTTCTGATGTCATAAGTAGGTGTGTGTTAGACAACTGTAGCCTCACGTTAGGATGAATGAGCATTTTCAGTCCACTATGTGTGTTGTGGGATTTGTAATTGCTTTTGTCTAAGGGTGCTAGATTACTTGCGGGTTTCTTTAAAAAGTTAAGCGTTATCCGTATTTCGGTGACTGAGTAGCTGTAGCTTCTGGAACATTGTTTATGAGGATTATTTTACACTCCTTAAGGTTTATATCAGATTCGCTAAGGCAATTCTGGGTCATCATGGAGACACAACTTGACTGTGATTCAAAATTACTTGTATGTTTGGGCTTTGGATGAATGATAACGGCTGTTTTATGAACGGTCTTGATCATAGGACTAGTAGCCTCATAACACGTGCCTTTGCTTCCGGAAGAGGTAGAGAATAAGGATCTGAGGTTTTTGCAGTGGCCAACGTTGTGACTGTCGTTAGTATGTAGACTAGGCTGATTGGTTTACAGTTCACTGATGATTGGACGTTGGATGGTAATCCTGTCAAAGATAATTCTAATCTTTTTAAATGTCGGAATACGCCGAAGTAGTGACTAATTATTATTGTTAGGTTGATTAGTTTCTACAATACTACCAAACTGAAAGAGAATGAGACAGTAAGTTCTAGTTTGTGCTTAACGTTCTCTTCGTGTTAAATACTAGGATTAAGACAATCCACACTCTTACAGTAGGGTATTTTCAACGGACAATAGGTTCTCACTATCAAGCATATTATACACAATGACATTCTGCATACACTGAAGTTTTTTCAACACATAATGACTTATGGTCAATTGATTTTGCAGTGTTTTTCATAATTTCGAGATCAGAATTTTCTGAAACACTGATTAGAAATTTGTAAAGTAATAATTCTTCAATAGTTCGGATGAGATGAAGTTCCGTTTAACTGTTCTTGGAGTTACCACTGGTGAGGGTATTGAAGTTTATAATAAAATTTTCACGATCGGCATATTTGCGTACAGGCCCGTTGCGGGAACCTGTTGGATGGTCACATTGTGCATACTTAGTTAAAGAATGGAATATATGTTAAAGTCAGCACTTCAGATCTACATCACTGGACTGTTTATAGCAGGCAGACCCAATTTCAATCTATGAGTCGCTATACAGTGTCATCTTGTGGGTTCGGTGGGTGTTTGGGTTAACTACACTCCCTTAAGACTGTCCACAGCAAGTGATGCTTTTGGGTGGACTGTTAGGAGTACCGAATGGGGTCGATTCGAACGGTTAGTGTCTGCTCTTATATCTATAAGCGAGGTGCAATGTAGTGGTATGTCATACCCAAGTAAATGATGTTTAGTGTAGCTGCAGATAGATTATAGTAGGTTGTAAAACTGTTTAGATAGTTTATTTAGCTTCACATCATCCAGTTTGGTGACGGATTAAAATACTTCGCAAGTGCGATAAGCATCTGGGGTGGATTACGCTTAATTTATATGTACTAGACATGACTTGAGTAAATATAAATATATGAAGGGTTTATATTATCTTAACGGGTACTGTAAGAATTCAACTTACAATACGACAAATATTCGATGGTACGATTGAATCAAATACTTGTCAAGACGTAAAACATGGACGGTAATGACCGATGAGAAGTGTAAAGCGTAAAATACAATGGACAATGTGTATGAAGTTGAGTCACATGAAGAAGTTCTAAATTAATAAAATCTCATTCAAAATAAAGTCTTTTTCGCAAACAGATATTGTCAATTTTGATTAAGAAGCCATTAAAAAAAAGAAAACCACGTGGAAAATGGTATGATCACGTCATGGGACGACATGGACTGACTGAGAGAAAGGGACGAGAATGGTGAGAGATTCGCAAATCTATATGCATTCAGCAAATTGGTCATATGTAGCACAATATTCCCCCACAAACGCATACACAAAGCTACATGGATCTCACTGGATCACAATACAGAGAACTAGGTCGATTATATCTGTCACCAAAAAATTCAGATCAATAGAAGACGTGAGAACCAGAAGAGTTGACATAGCTTCAGATCACCACCTGGCCGTGGACAAGATGAAACTTATGCTAAAGAAACAATGGACAACTGGATAAACAACATTACAAAGATTTCATACTGCCTTCCTTCAAGATACAAACTTGACGAATCCAAGATAGCTCTCAACAATAATTTTCGAGCCTTCGAAGAATTACTCGAAAAATGGGAAACTACTATGGAAGACAACAGCAGAGGGATTAAAGAAACACTAACTTCAACGTGTCAGGAGGTTCTGGGCCGCAACAAGCATCATCAAAAGGAATGGATCTCTATCGAAACCCTGGACAGGACTCAACAAAGGAAGAACAAGAAGACAGCAATCAACAACAATCAGAAAAGAAGAGATAAAGCCAAGACATAGACCAAATACATAGAAGCAATCATCAGTGAAGAAGAGTATTAGAGCCAACAAGCAGAAATACGTAGAAGACCTAGCAAGGACAGCGGATAGAGCTGCAAGAGAAGGAAATGTCGGGCAACTATATGACACAACGAAGAAGCTAGTAGGGAAACATAGCAAACCGGAACGACAAGCTAAGAGAAAAGAAGGCGAACCGATCACTGAGATTCAAAGACAGAGGAACACATGGGTGGAACACTTTGAGGAACTCTTCAATATACCAGGCACACTGAATCCACCATACAATGATGCAGGACACACAGACCATCCTATAGATGTCACTCCATCAACGACTGAAGAAATCAGCATGACCACCAAACAGATCAAGACTGGGAACGCAGTAGGACCTGACTATATACCCGTTGAAGCACTGAAGTCAGATATCGAAGTAAATGCAAAGATGCTCCATGTCCTATTCTGGAAGAACAAGTACCGACAGGCTGAAAAGAAGTATACCTCATCAAGATACAAAAGAAGGGGCAAAGTTTACAACAGAGTGTTGCTTAACCGCGTGAAAGACGCAGTAGACAACCAACTTCAAAATCAACAAGCCGGATTCCGTAAGTATCCATTGTGCACAGACCAAATCACGAGACTATGGATCATCGTCGAACAATCAATTGAGTGGAACTCGTCACTATACATCAACGTTAACATACCTAGACAGCATCATCGATGCACGTGGAGGATCTGATGCATACGTAAACGCGAAGATTGGTAAAGAAAGAGCAACATTCCCACGGTTGGAGAACATTTAAAACTCAAAATAACTGTCAACCTACATCAAAGTCAGAATATTCAGTACGAACGTCTAAACAGTTCCACTGTATGGAGATGAAACTTCGAGAACTACCACAACCACCATCAAAAAGGCAAATTATTTATAAACAATTGTCTACGTAAGATACTGAATGTCCGTTGTCTGAATAACATCAGCAACAGCCTACTATGGGAGAGGACAAATCAGCTTCCAGCTGAAGAAGAAATTAGGAAAAGACGTTGGAGTTGATGAATAGGACACACATTGAAGAAATCATCAAACTGTATCACGAAGCAAACACTAACATGGAATCCTGAGGGTAAACGGAAAAGAGGAAGGTCAGAGAACACGTTACGTCGGGAATTGGAAGCAGACATAAAAATGATCGTCCAGAATAAATTTAGATGGAAGGTGGTGGTTTGCGACCTATGCTCCTCCATGTGGAGTAACAAGCGAAAGTATGTAAGCTTTGTATCTACTCCACGATGCAATCACAAATACTTGATAACAAAAAACCCAAAAAATATGTCCTACTCTGAAAGTAGTAGTACTTACTTCATCTAAAACAATGTAAGTACATTGGTTAAGTACCATATACCGGTTTTCTAGTACATCATTTAAACGACCAGGGGTACCAATAACTATTTCGGCGCCCATTCGAAGCTTTAAAGCCTGATCTTCACGCGAGAGACCACCAATTAACGAAACAGTTTTGATTCCCAGTGGTCGACCGAATTTCACTGTTTCTTCCTCAATTTGCTGTGCCAACTCTCTAGTAGGGGCCATGATAATAGCATATGGTCCTTGCTCTGTGTCCTTTTAATAACTGATTAGAAAGTAGCCTAAGTTACCTCCAACCTCTCCAGTTTTGGAAGTCGCTGAATCCAATTCAACAGGGGTATAAGGAAAGCTGCTGTTTTTCCTGAGCCTGTTTCTGCAACGCCAATAATATCACGATTTTGCAGACCTATTGGTATTGCTTGGCGTTGAATTGGTGTTGGTTCAGGATAACCAACCTAAAGGGAAGATGAAACTGAGTTAATATCCATACCTTTTTAATTACATCCTTAAGTTCATCAGCAACATTCATTTCCGCCCAAGACCTAAGGGGATTCGGAATGTTACCTCCCTTGGTAGATATATTAAAATCTTCGCGAAAGATTCGCCAGTCGCGTTCAGTCATCTGATCAAGGGCCTTTTCTGTCCAGTGCCTGTCATCCCATTTCTGCTTAGCTTCACGCTTTGCCACACCACTTAAACGTTTCCTAAACCATAAGTATAATCCAATGACTAGTTACTTTTCTTGAACTTTCTGGGTGTCGGAACGGCGGCTTTCTAATAGCTTTGAATAAAATCGTCCAATTTCCTTTTTTTGTTGCTGACAATTGTGAAGAATGTAAACACTTCATTACCTTAATATCAATACCACCAATGTGTCCACGGCCAAAAAACTGGATCTGATGCTTTTCTTTGTAAAGCGGGTTGTAATCTTGGCTAGTATCATCCGCGACATCCCAGTCAAATACAAACTTCCTCTCATTAAGTCGTCTAGGTCGACGCTTAGTCAGACGCTTTTGACCCAAGTAGCGCTCTTTGATAGCTTGTTCTTCTTGTGAATTGTTTATCTTATCACTTGGAACTTCTCCCTGAGCTGCTCGTTTGGAAGTATTTCTAAAGTTTCGGTTCTGCCTCATTCTCTCTTGAAAATCTTCGGCGCGTCTCAAGACTGGGAACGCAGTAGGACCTGACTATATACCCGTTGAAGCACTGAAGTCAGATATCGAAGTAAATGCAAAGATGCTCCATGTCCTATTCTGGAAGAACAAGTACCGACAGGCTGAAAAGAAGTATACCTCATCAAGATACAAAAGAAGGGGCAAAGTTTACAACAGAGTGTTGCTTAACCGCGTGAAAGACGCAGTAGACAACCAACTTCAAAATCAACAAGCCGGATTCCGTAAGTATCCATTGTGCACAGACCAAATCACGAGACTATGGATCATCGTCGAACAATCAATTGAGTGGAACTCGTCACTATACATCAACGTTAACATACCTAGACAGCATCATCGATGCACGTGGAGGATCTGATGCATACGTAAACGCGAAGATTGGTAAAGAAAGAGCAACATTCCCACGGTTGGAGAACATTTAAAACTCAAAATAACTGTCAACCTACATCAAAGTCAGAATATTCAGTACGAACGTCTAAACAGTTCCACTGTATGGAGATGAAACTTCGAGAACTACCACAACCACCATCAAAAAGGCAAATTATTTATAAACAATTGTCTACGTAAGATACTGAATGTCCGTTGTCTGAATAACATCAGCAACAGCCTACTATGGGAGAGGACAAATCAGCTTCCAGCTGAAGAAGAAATTAGGAAAAGACGTTGGAGTTGGTGAATAGGACACACATTGAAGAAATCATCAAACTGTATCACGAAGCAAACACTAACATGGAATCCTGAGGGTAAACGGAAAAGAGGAAGGTCAAAGAACACGTTACGTCGGGAATTGGAAGCAGACATAAAAACGATGGCAACTGGAAATGATCGTTCAGAACAGATTTAGATGGAAGGTGGTGGTTTGCGACCTATGCTTCTTCATGATATGTGACGGACTTTTGTAGGAAAACAGTTTTTCAATACGTTTCACAGGCTTTTTGATTCAGGTGTAAGTATAACCATCATTTTTATCATATGATGAGTTTTCGGTTTGATAGTAGCAAAAGCGTGAAGGTGAGAGCATTCTTTTTTGTATATGACCAGAAATCACATTTGGTTATCCCCTAGGCTTTTTTCAAAACTTCTGATGTTGGATTTTAACACGTTCTTCTTGGTTTGGCAAGAAGCTTACAAGTTTCAAGTGGAAACTCTTAATTTTTAACGTTTTTGTACCATCTAGTACGATGGCTAGAAACACTTGGAATCAAGGATCTTTCTGCTGAAACAGTGTCTTGTGACTTTTTCGAACGATGAGTAAAACACTCCGGCTGCCCTCCAAGTATGGCGACAGACCATGAATGCTAGTTCTAATCTGGATTTTCCGTTGACTTACCACGCTTTTAGGAATGAACAAATTGCAATCGACTGCCTAACATCTACAAGCTTATGAATTTGTAGTATTTGGATTTCAAAGACATCAGAAGGCTTCACTTTCAGCTGCAAACCTGCTACAATAAACTTACGCCACTATAATCGTGTTACGCAATGTGGTGAAAGCAGATGACAGATGCACTGCAGCACAACTCTTTTACGACACTTTGAACGCCAGGAGAATTGGTGGATCCTTCATCTTCTTCAATGAATGTTGACCTTTCACTAACTGGCTAACAAACGCGTTGGTTTCAATAAATTCCGTCTCCACTGAATCGTAGCCAACTCTCCTTAAGGCTTAGTACACACGTTTTCATACGTCGTAATTCATTAGGCCTACCCGTCAGTGCTGCAAACGAAGGACAGTTCAAACTGATACACAACGGGAAGTAATAAAGGAGTGATATATTTGCAAAAGGTCAAGACAGATAGAAATAATAATACAACAGGTATCCGAAGTTCGAAGACACCTCTACCCGTAGAACATTTACAATCAAAATGTTCCAGCTAGTCCAAATCAGAGATCATAAACAAGTGAGTCTGAAGTTGTACTCGGAAAGCTATCGATGTGACGTGAAGCGTTTGGTCTAAGCTTCCTGGGAATTGCAAGGGATACATGGCACGGCGTGCCCACTCGCGATCTGGTTTGGGTATATGAATGAGCGCCTTCAGCTAGGGTGTGTTCGGTGAGACTGATGAGGTCAACATCTATTTCAAGAACGTACAGTACAATTCACCTTGGGGACTTATTTACAGCAACAGATGCATGATTTATAGAAATAGACTGTACTTTATAATTCTAAACGCAATCCAAGTCTGAAAAATACAGTGGACAGCCATCATAAGACATTGATCCGATGATAGATTGCAACAGTATTATATACCTTCATACCTCTTATTGCAAACAGTAATTGAGGTTCGGAACAGATAACATCTCAAATTGAGTGGATGAGTAAACAAACCCAATTGCCCCAAGATCACCCAATCAATGAAGAGATTTCAAATGGTTCAAATGATTGTGGACGGAATAGAAGAAGCCTTTGCTTAACGGGTTTCCGTGTCTAGTAGCAGTAGGTCACCAATACTTCCAGGCAGGAATCTAAGTATATCAACGATAACAGAGGAAAATAAAAGAAATTGGTAAATCATAATATCATGAGTCAATTGAAGCTAGACCACCATCGAAAACCTGGAAGCACTGGACGACCGCTTCGTCCTATTATGGGACTCCTCAGCAATGCGCACCCGCGAGATTCGAACCCAGGACCTACCAGTCTCGAGCCGAAGCCCTTAACCGATAGACCACTGAGCCGGCATCCAACGGTGTTAATGTCTAACTTCAACCAATCCACAATTTTGAGCGACCGTTCACCAATTGTCTTCAGTGAGCTGATATCTCTACTACTGATCTGGTAGAACTCCACTGGTCACTGCTTCCCACTAGAACTCAAGGAAATATCTCTTGAAGTCAGTCACTAGTGAGCATATGATTATAGATCTGAGGGGGTTTTGTGGAGAATTTAGTATTTTCACAGTTGAAATCACGAGTCAATTGAAGCTAGACCACCATCAAAGTTAGACATTAACACCATTGGATGCTGGCTCAGTGGTCTATCGGTTAAGGGCTTCGGCTCGAGACTGGTAGGTCCTGGGTTCGAATCTCGCGGGTGCGGGATCGTGGGTGCGCACCTCTAAGGAGTCCCATAATAGGACGAAACGGTCGTACAGTGCTTCCAGGTTTTCGATGGTGGTCTAGCTTCAATTGACTCATAATTTCAACTGTGAAAATACTAAATTCTCCACAAAACCCCCTCTGATCTAAAGTCATAATATGTTATCCTTAGTCGATAAGAATAGGTCAAGTTTCCTCATAAGGGACTCCTGCGAAGTCGCTTGAACTAGCCCAGTCGGCAGCCAATTCCAGCGTTTGACACCTCTTACGGAGTAGAAGTTGTGCCTACAGTCCGTTCTGCTATCTCGGGTCTCCAGTTTCTGGGTGTTACCCCTTAGGTTGGTATTGTGACTAAGCTTAAGTGGATGTTTAAGGGGATATCCGGAAGTGTTAAGGATACTGCAAGCCATAAGAAGGTCACATCTAAAAGGCCTATACTTTAGCGGATAAAGGTTAAGTGATTGGAGGCGCTCTATATAAGGTTTGAATTTCAGTCCTCGAACTGATTTCGTGGCTCGACGATGGATACGTTCCAGAGTATCCTTATGCTTTTGCAGTGAGTGGGGAAACACTATGTTTCTGTACTCCAAATGAGAACGAATAAAACTGTTGAAGATTATGTGGAAAGTTCTACCGTCAAACTGGCCAAAAATGTGCTTAAATGTTACCAGTGCAAGGTTCTCTTGAAAGGAATTTTTGTAAGACTTCAAGTCGTAGGGTACCAACACTCCTAAATCTTTTTCGACTTGGGATACTTCTAGAGAGGAGTTTTCTATGTTGTAACTATTGTCCGCAACATGTCTCAGATGAAATACTTTACACTTTGATGTATTGAAGGTAAGTCCGTTGTTGTCTGCCCAACTTTGAAGTCGAGTCGGATCCTCCTGAAGTGCTAGTATATCCTCTTGATTGCGTACCTCTCCCCAAAATTTAACATCACCAGCGAAAAGCTGGTTCGTTTATATAAATTAGGAGGAGAAGAGGTCTTAGTATTCAGCCCTGGAGGACCCCACTAGAACATTTCATAGCCTGAGAGAAAGTGAAGTCAAACCTGACCTTAAAATGTCGATGTTTTAGATATGAAGTGAGCCAGTCAATTAGAGGTGGTTTGATACTCAATTGTGCTTAGCTTATTGATAAGACACATATGGCCGACACTATCATAAGCTTTTGAGAAATCAAGGTAAGTGATGTCGACCTTCCCTTCGCGATCAAGAACGCTTGACCATCTGTCCACCTCGGTCGGCAGGTCGGTTATACAAGAGTAAACCTTCCTGAAACCATGCTGTTAAGATGAGAAGTTTAAGGATAATAATTAGTCGTGTATACCATCGCATATCAGGGACTCCATAAATTTTGAAGGCATAAAGAGAAGGGCCACTGGTCGGTAGCTTAAGGGTTCGCTGCGTCCACCTTCTTTGGAAGTAGGTGTGATGTGAGCCACCTTCCAAATTTCCGGTATTTTGCCTCGGTTTAGCTGTTGTGAGAACATCACGCTTAGTGGTGTTGTCGGGATTGAAGTTGCTTCCCTCAGTATGGCAGAGTGAACCATATCCAGACCAGGAGAAGTGTCTTTTCCTAAACGATGCAGTTTTCGGAACACCAAGTCAGCGCTCAGGTTCACTAGGGAAAGTCCTGTGCAATTTCAGATGATTATTTCATTAGTACAGTTGATTTGGGTCGGTTGAAATGTCCGTGAGTATTGTTCAACCAAAAGGTTAGCGGCATCACCGTCGTTATTGGTCGAGCCACTAGGAACTTACAGTTGGGAAACTCCAAATTTGGTTTGTCGAAGAAAAGCTGCAAAACAGAATAAGCCTTTCGGATTCGAGACAAATTTATTGATAAGGTTCATCTGGTACGGAAGCCTGTCTACTCTAATGGCCTTTGTCCATATGTTACTTATATGTTTGTATCGCCTGTACGCGCCGTTATTATCAGTCCGTTTGCGTTCTGCACAAAAGTGCCTTTTGCGGACCATTTGAAAAACTGGATGCTTAGTAGAAAATAAGAGCGTGTAGAGAAAGAAATCCCAATAAGCATCCACGTCATGTTGAGGGTGAAAATCCCAATCCACCTGTTGTAGATAGTCCTGTAAAGCTAACACATTCAACCGTTTGAAATTCCAGCGCCTGCTGTTGTTGGGATATCTTATCTCAATTTTGCTGAAGGCTATAACGGCGATGACTTCAATCCACCCGTGTTTGTGGGGCAGAACATTTTCTTTGCATCAGGCTCTTTATGGATGAGAACAAGTCAATCAATCTGTGATATTGAGGTTGTTCTCCTACACTCACCATTCAGACTCATGTTTCTAATTTTTATGCTGGATTAACTATTCTACTAAGACAACCTATAACATGCTAACTCGGACTTTTACACAAAAACTATGTGGCAGGCATCGAATGATGAAAAAAAACAGACTATAAAGGATATGGTTGTTATTTTACTCAACACTCTACTCTCTATATGCACTCTCTGTTCTACTAAGCAGTTTTTCCCATTCCAACCTTGACTTCCCTTCCTTCATTCGAACCTACTCCACCTTGAGAAATATCACAACTCATTGTTCTTTATTACTGCATTCTCTCATCTGGGGTCCTTGATCACATTTCACTCTAGCAACAAGAACTAGTATCAATTTAATCAAATAATTTATCATACCTTTGTCTGTTCCACTACTAAATGTTAGGCATTGGTTAACGTACATACCCAAATGCCTTGCTGCTCTTCGGTTTCTTTTTTTCTCTTCAGAATCTTGCCCTGAGGGTGAAGCTTTGCAACTTCTGACATCTGGGACAAGCTCGAAGTACGCGCTTTCCCAAGGTCATAGTTCGCACCAGGCGTTCCACAAGTCTACAAGTCTGCGTGATCGATTTTCCGTAAGGGAGCCAGAATTCAAGGTTTTCAACTAGGGATTCTTCATTTGTAAATACCTAATCTAGGCTCTACGCCGGAAGCATTCTTCAGTGTTGTGCCCCGGGTGATTTTGATGGTTAGAGTCCTTCCCCCGGGGGAATCGTGTGACCGTCAAAGGCTCTATTCTAGGGAGTTCAAGCTTCTTTTTTAACTCTCCCCAGAGCATCCTGTCATTTTATTCCTGCAAACTGATGAGAAGGTCAGGGTTGTCTTTAAGGTTCATGATTATGAGAGTCATCATGAACTGTTATTGGTTTCCCAGGTTTTCCTGTACATTCAAATTCGGCACTTTGTTGTTTGGGTGTTGAAGCGCGTTTTTGATTCGTCGACTGTTTGGTGACCGGACGAACATTCTTGGGGGTAGACTGTGCGGTCAAATTTCCAGTTGACTTACGAACAATACTTGAAATGCTCAGCTTAGATGGTGACGTCTGGTCCTTTTTAACTCTGTTTACGTGTGTCCAATCACCTACAGAGTTGTTGCATTCGAAGACCCTGTGCTAGGAGACACAAGTTTGCTGAGAGGGTCTATCTGCATTGAATTTATGATGGTGCTGAGTTTCAGCATGTCATCGCTTGTGCTATTGCATGCTCTATCGATAGTAGACCTGTCGATATTCCTCTTCATGTTTTCACTGAGCGTTCTTGTTTGTCTACCCGTTTTATGACTGTCATTTTCCAAGTTTTCTGTCAATAGGACAATGATGTTACTCAGCAAAACTATAGCATCTGTGTTGCACATGGCACATACCCACATATTATCCGACTTACAGAGTCTGTTGTAAGCAGTTACTGTGAGATCTGTGCACACTTCATGGAAACAACCTATGCAGTTGTCGTAACAGCGAAACGGCATCCAGGTCGTTTGCATAAATTTTTCATGGCCATATTGACGTAAGATGTTTTATAAATGCAAGCAGAAAGCATAAGACTGTTGAAAAATACAGTACACTAAAAACGGGCAAAAATGGATAAAAACGGGTTACGATAAACTAAAACTAGCCTTTACGTGAAAAACTAGAGAAACAAAACCGAATAATAAGCCGAGGCAAAACTACAGTTAACTATTAAGTTGGATGAATCTCAAAAAAGTATTCTGCCGAACGTATAGCTCTGAATAGATTCTTTAAATCAGAAATGGTACTTTTGTTGCGTAAGAACACAGCAAAAGTTTGAGAAATGCAAACCACGTTAGGACTAAACTTCTCGAACTAAAAACGCGCTAGTTGTTAACAATAATATCCTCTACGAGGTTTAAAACATATTAGGACAATTACTATATTAATAATTGAAGACCAATTGAATCTTTGAAAAATCAAGTGAACGATTTGTCGTTGATGCTACAGTTACCTAATGGACAACGGTGGTATCAATCTTGAAGAAGGGGAGCTTGATGTAGATCTCAGCGATGAGGAAGGATGCAAGTTCAAACATGAAAGGTGAGCATTTATATCTTTGATCTTAATTTTCTTCAGTCATATAAAGAAGGAAGAAAAGCTAGATAAAGAAGCTGAAGTAAAAAAGCATAAGAAAAAAGAAAAAAAGGCAAAAAAAGAAAAGAAGCACAAGAAAAAAAAGAAGAAGCACAGGCACGAGAACAAAGAAAAAAGGTACCTTTACTTTGTCAATCTTACTTTAGTTCTCCTAATAATGATGATGTTCTTCAACCAACTGTAAACGAAACGAAGTTAGAAGATCCTGGAAGTCCAAAAAAAGAAATAGGCGATACCCCATGTGTTCCAAAACGCGTTCCTATTTCTCTGGAGGAGCTGATTTTAAAAAAGAAGGCTCAGGAGGCAGAATTAATCAAACCGAAGTTTATATCTAAGGAGGAGCGCATTCAGCAGGCTATCCAAAGAAGACAAGCTGAAGTTCAAGCTCAACGTGAAAAGCAGATGGATGCTTTCAAAAAGCAAACAGAATATCTCGAAGGGGCTAAAGGTTACACTCCTATCTCTCGTTATGTTTTTAGATCTGGAACGGAAGAGACGCGCCGAAGATTTTCAAGAGAGAATGAGGCAGAACCGAAACTTTAGAAATACTTCCAAACGAGCAGCTCAGGGAGAAGTTCCAAGTGATAAGATAAACAATTCACAAGAAGAACAAGCTATCAAAGAGCGCTACTTGGGTCAAAAGCGTCTGACTAAGCGTCGACCTAGACGACTTAATGAGAGGAAGTTTGTATTTGACTGGGATGTCGCGGATGATACTAGCCAAGATTACAACCCGCTTTACAAAGAAAAGCATCAGATCCAGTTTTTTGGCCGTGGACACATTGGTGGTATTGATATTAAGGTAATGAAGTGTTTACATTCTTCACAATTGTCAGCAACAAAAAAAGGAAATTGGACGATTTTATTCAAAGCTATTAGAAAGCCGCCGTTCCGACACCCAGAAAGTTCAAGAAAAGTAACTAGTCATTGGATTATACTTATGGTTTAGGAAACGTTTAAGTGGTGTGGCAAAGCGTGAAGCTAAGCAGAAATGGGATGACAGGCACTGGACAGAAAAGGCCCTTGATCAGATGACTGAACGCGACTGGCGAATCTTTCGCGAAGATTTTAATATATCTACCAAGGGAGGTAACATTCCGAATCCCCTTAGGTCTTGGGCGGAAATGAATGTTGCTGATGAACTTAAGGATGTAATTAAAAAGGTATGGATATTAACTCAGTTTCATCTTCCCTTTAGGTTGGTTATCCTGAACCAACACCAATTCAACGCCAAGCAATACCAATAGGTCTGCAAAATCGTGATATTATTGGCGTTGCAGAAACAGGCTCAGGAAAAACAGCAGCTTTCCTTATACCCCTGTTGAATTGGATTCAGCGACTTCCAAAACTGGAGAGGTTGGAGGTAACTTAGGCTACTTTCTAATCAGTTATTAAAAGGACACAGAGCAAGGACCATATGCTATTATCATGGCCCCTACTAGAGAGTTGGCACAGCAAATTGAGGAAGAAACAGTGAAATTCGGTCGACCACTGGGAATCAAAACTGTTTCGTTAATTGGTGGTCTCTCGCGTGAAGATCAGGCTTTAAAGCTTCGAATGGGCGCCGAAATAGTTATTGGTACCCCTGGTCGTTTAAATGATGTACTAGAAAACCGGTATATGGTACTTAACCAATGTACTTACATTGTTTTAGATGAAGTAAGTACTACTACTTTCAGAGTAGGACATATTTTTTGGGTTTTTTGTTATCAAGTATTTGTGATTGCATCGTGGAGTAGATACGAAGCTTACATACTTTCGCTTGTTACTCCACATGGAGGAGCATAGGTCGCAAACCACCACCTTCCATCTAAATTTATTCTGGACGATCATTTTTATGTCTGCTTCCAATTCCCGACGTAACGTGTTCTTTGACCTTCCTCTTTTCCGTTTACCCTCAGGATTCCATGTTAGTGTTTGCTTCGTGATACAGTTTGATGATTTCTTCAATGTGTGTCCTATTCATCAACTCCAACGTCTTTTCCTAATTTCTTCTTCAGCTGGAAGCTGATTTGTCCTCTCCCATAGTAGGCTGTTGCTGATGTTATTCAGACAACGGACATTCAGTATCTTACGTAGACAATTGTTTATAAATAATTTGCCTTTTTGATGGTGGTTGTGGTAGTTCTCGAAGTTTCATCTCCATACAGTGGAACTGTTTAGACGTTCGTACTGAATATTCTGACTTTGATGTAGGTTGACAGTTATTTTGAGTTTTAAATGTTCTCCAACCGTGGGAATGTTGCTCTTTCTTTACCAATCTTCGCGTTTACGTATGCATCAGATCCTCCACGTGCATCGATGATGCTGTCTAGGTATGTTAACGTTGATGTATAGTGACGAGTTCCACTCAATTGATTGTTCGACGATGATCCATAGTCTCGTGATTTGGTCTGTGCACAATGGATACTTACGGAATCCGGCTTGTTGATTTTGAAGTTGGTTGTCTACTGCGTCTTTCACGCGGTTAAGCAACACTCTGTTGTAAACTTTGCCCCTTCTTTTGTATCTTGATGAGGTATACTTCTTTTCAGCCTGTCGGTACTTGTTCTTCCAGAATAGGACATGGAGCATCTTTGCATTTACTTCGATATCTGACTTCAGTGCTTCAACGGGTATATAGTCAGGTCCTACTGCGTTCCCAGTCTTGATCTGTTTGGTGGTCATGCTGATTTCTTCAGTCGTTGATGGAGTGACATCTATAGGATGGTCTGTGTGTCCTGCATCATTGTATGGTGGATTCAGTGTGCCTGGTATATTGAAGAGTTCCTCAAAGTGTTCCACCCATGTGTTCCTCTGTCTTTGAATCTCAGTGATCGGTTCGCCTTCTTTTCTCTTAGCTTGTCGTTCCGGTTTGCTATGTTTCCCTACTAGCTTCTTCGTTGTGTCATATAGTTGCCCGACATTTCCTTCTCTTGCAGCTCTATCCGCTGTCCTTGCTAGGTCTTCTACGTATTTCTGCTTGTTGGCTCTAATACTCTTCTTCACTGATGATTGCTTCTATGTATTTGGTCTATGTCTTGGCTTTATCTCTTCTTTTCTGATTGTTGTTGATTGCTGTCTTCTTGTTCTTCCTTTGTTGAGTCCTGTCCAGGGTTTCGTTAGAGATCCATTCCTTTTGATGATGCTTGTTGCGGCCCAGAACCTCCTGACACGTTGAAGTTAGTGTTTCTTTAATCCCTCTGCTGTTGTCTTCCATAGTAGTTTCCCATTTTTCGAGTAATTCTTCGAAGGCTCGAAAATTATTGTTGAGAGCTATCTTGGATTCGTCAAGTTTGTATCTTGAAGGAAGGCAGTATGAAATCTTTGTAATGTTGTTTATCCAGTTGTCCATTGTTTCTTTAGCATAAGTTTCATCTTGTCCACGGCCAGGTGGTGATCTGAAGCTATGTCAACTCTTCTGGTTCTCACGTCTTCTATTGATCTGAATTTTTTGGTGACAGATATAATCGACCTAGTTCTCTGTATTGTGATCCAGTGAGATCCATGTAGCTTTGTGCATGCGTTTGTGGGGGAATATTGTGCTACATATGACCAATTTGCTGAATGCATATAGATTTGCGAATCTCTCACCATTCTCGTCCCTTTCAGTCAGTCCATGTCGTCCCATGACATAGTCCTGCCCGGTGTCGTCCATCTCAGCTTTCACATTTAGGTTTGTCACCGGAATGTTCAGGTCCTTTTTTGTGCATTTCTCTACGATCGATTGCAGTCTCTCGTAGAACTGATCTTTATCGTCTTTATTGCTATCATTGGTGTATGCATAACAATGAATAATATTCGTCATAATTCCCTCCTTCTTTGTTTTGTATGATGCTTTGATGATCCTGGATTCACGAGTTTCTCATTTTATGAGTGCTTTTCGTGCTTCTTTGGACAGCATCAGTGCAACTGCTTGCGTGTGCGAAACATTTTCTTTGTGACCAGAGTACAGCAGCATCTCTCCCGTACCTAACCTTTTCTGTCCAGCTTGGGTTTAATGGGTTTCACTGTTTTCAAACACCACTAAGTTGTATCTCCTTATTTCCGCAGCTATTTAATTGATGATTCCGGTCTCCGTCATTATCTGGACATTCCGTTTACCTACATTAATCGTTCTTTTTTTCCGAAGGATCTCAGCTTTCACCATGAGGTGTCGTCATTCTTCTAAAGAAGCTCTTTCAGCTCACAAGACAGATTTCAAATGACCTAGACTTCCCTCTGATTAGCTCTTTTTTCGCAAGAATGTTTTCTACGGGATGTGGCTGCTGACCCCATACCCAACACATCTCCTTTACTCAGGCTTAGGACCGGCAGTAACCCAAGAAGAGCTGCAGGCGTAGTTAGATGTAAATCACCAGATTAAAATGGTAAATTATATCTTTCAGTTGTAACCCTTTATCAGTTACGATCCCTCAGACTTGTTTTTCGTTTACACAGCTATCATTTCTCAGCACTATGATGGTTAGCATTGGATCAGGTTGGAAGATTAGATGTTATTATGTGGAAACCTAAAAGTAGTCCATGAACACAACTGTATAAAAGACGGAAAAACAATAATAATAGATTAAGTGCACAGTTAATAGATATACAAAGTTCAGGTTTCATCTGACAGAAAACCATAGTTTTCGTTTTAAGGATTTTGGAATAATCAAGTTGATTTCGACAAATCATTAAAAAACCCAGGCACTTTCATCTAAACTATCGGAGTCTATTAAATGTTCCTAATTGTTGGTGTTAGATTAACATATTTATATAAATCGACATACTATTACATGCGTCTTCGCCATGTGGTTGTAAATGCTTATGAATTATATTTATTTCTGACGTTTTTAAATTAATAGGCTGATAAAATGATTGATATGGGTTTCGAACCTGAGGTCAACAATATTCTCACGTATTTACCAGTTACAAATGAAAAGCCTGATAATGAGGATGCTGAAGATGATTCGAAGCTATTGAGCAATTTCGCAACGAAACATAAGTATCGTCAGACTGTCATGTTCACAGCTACCATGCCCCCAGCAGTTGAACGTCTTGCTCGTTCCTATTTAAGGCGACCTGCAATGGTGTATATTGGAAGTGCTGGTAAACCCACAGAACGAGTGGAACAGATTGTTTATATGGTTTCAGAACAAGAAAAGAGGTAGTTTTTTCATACCAATATTGATCAAATGTTTATAGCTAAGTCGATTTCCTTTTGGTTATAAATTTAAGTATTTCAGGACTAACGGCTCTGAAACCACTTTTACTTACATGCTCCAGATTATTAGTTTATTTTCCACATTGGTTTTAGATAGTGCCGCGAACTATTAGTACAATTGATTAGTTGCAGCTGGCACTTGTGAAATCGTATTTATTGAAAATTTAATCTTAATATATTGTACTCGCTCTGATTTATAAGAAACGATTTTAGTCATGTCGATAATTCTTGTGGAAAACTGGCTGCTAGGCCAAAGACGGATTCAATATTGAGGTAAGATGGTGGTTGGAGGTGCTCAACAGGGAACCCTGGACCCGGGTTTCGTGCTACTTGGCACTCGTCAGCAAGATTACAGGTACACCACCATCTTACCTCAATATATATAGTGCACGCAGTGTCGAGCCACCTAGACTGGTGGCCTTCTTGCAACTCGATCGATAGCATTCGATCAGCACTAAGAAGGACTTGACACGCATGACATTGATCACCACCCAGTGATCAATCAATTATGGTTACGGATTCAATATATTTTTATTGAACATAATAAAGCTAGTAACTTTACCATTAGCTAGTACATTAATATACACGGCTTCATTGTCTCTATATATGTAACGAGTGCTGAAGTTGGAAACTCATCTTAATAGCATTCATCGTCCTGTTAACATAATTCATTAATGAGCTCGACACCTGTATTTCCACTTACCGAAAGACAAGCATAGTGTCCTAATCGATTTAAAGGTACACATATATTTTCTGTCTCGATTGAAATGTAAAATGTTGCTCCAGGATTGGTCTGCGTGAGCTTATGGTAGGGAGTGGAGTAGTTGAGCGCGTCGATCACTTTGTAAAGGTTTCATCACCTCATGTGGGTTTGTAGTTGAAGAAACAGTGGTTAGACAAAGGTACATCAATATATGAAGTTGTGAGAAGTATCACATAATATGAACTTATGTTTTGAAGTCTATGAACCGGAAGAAATAGCTTCTGAACAATTCTTATCAGCTGATTCCCGATGTCTTTATGCGTTTCCCTATATCCATTATTTTTTTCATTTAAAAGTGAGTTATTACAAGTTGCTCGGGTTTTAGAGACTAAGTATCTGAAACTACAAGTTCTTGTAGGTCGAAAACTTGTATTATTTAGTTTGTTGCTAAATCTAGCTTTTTATCCACGAACGCCTTAGCGTCAAAATGACTAAAATTTCATTTTTTTTCAGGAGAAAACTGTTAGAAATACTTGCTGCAGGACTTGACCCACCTGTAATCATTTTTGTCAATCAGAAAAAAGGTGCTGATGTACTTGCTAAAGGACTAGAAAAACTCGGATACAGTGCTGTTGTTTTACATGGTGGCAAAGGACAGGAACAAAGAGAATATGCCTTGGCAAGTTTAAAGTCTGGTCAAAAGGAAATCTTGGTTGCAACTGATGTTGCCGGTCGTGGTATTGATATCAAGGATGTGTCAATGGTTATCAACTATGACATGTCTAAAACTATTGATGGTAAGCTAATAGGTCTTTCGCTATTTACTTAGATTATTTATTTATTTAAACACAAAAACATATTTCGAAAGAGACACCAGATTTATATGTTCCACCCAAATCATTTAATTTGTGTGAGGGCTGAGATACTGTACGGGCGCCCAAACTGAATCAGGTGGCTTTCTTAAGAGGCCATTCTTCGAGCCTTTGACTCAAAGGTTCAATTCACAAGGCAGTTGAGCAACGTAATGAGATGCAGTCCCATGGTAACCGGTAACCAACAGTAAGCTCATTTTATTTCCTTAGGATACTTGAGCCCACGTGCACCATTAGTTTGAAATCAGGGCTTTCCAACCCACTTATATGGATCCTCCGTATCCACCAATCTGGTTAAAGCGCCGGACATTCGCTTTTAATCTTCTTAATTTTGTATACAACATCCCTCGCTCGAGAAGGCAGTGAGTAGGACTTCCATGACAGCTGCCGTATACGCGTGGCCCTGTGAGAGCATTTTGAGAGGGAGAGCAGTCTCTCCTCACTCCCGCCCCTACCAGGGTATTTGGAGGCATTTACTTAGATACGTTCTGCATTCGATATTATAGTGGTATTTAAATTAATTAGTTGTCTTAACTTTCAATTGCAAAGTTATATAACTTTCGAAAGTCAGGGATACATTTTATCATCGTTGACAGATCACTCTTTTGGTGTCAAAACATTGTATAGAAACTCTTCTTCATACTTTATCAAAAGGTCTGATGGTACGAACATAAGCTAAGCATTCTTTTCAGTTACCAGTGATTTTGAATGGTGGGCTTTAAGCTCAACAAGACAGTCATTTAGGGATCTTTATAATCTGAGTGAAATAACTTTGATTCTTATTATGACTCCATAGCTCTGTCTTAGAAAACCTTTGTATTACATGTCTCAAAGATCTGGACAGTTTTGTCCCTCTTCTTTCTCAAATTATTGTTGACAAGTTGTGTGTATGACCTCGAATTCACCTTCTCTGTAACTAGATGAAGGTACTGTCTAATACACTTGTTCGACTCTTGGGCACATATTTCTTGCTCATTCATGTAAATACATCTAAGTCCTTAATTGAAGTGTTTATACGATCGTTCACATTAACACAACATAAGTAGCGTTATTTAATGACTAGTAATTTTTATATTGCATATTCTTTCTCTACTTAGAATATGTACATCGTATTGGGCGTACTGGACGTGCTGGTAAATCTGGTATTGCAATCTCACTACTTACGAAAGAAGATGCCCCTGTATTTTATGATTTAAAACAGTTATTAATTCAATCTCCTGTATCAACGTGTCCTCACGAACTTGCCAATCACCCGGATGCTCAAACAAAGCCGGGTATACTAGCTGCGAAAAAACGGCGTGCAGAAGAGACAGTTTACATTACATAAAGATATAGACTTGACTTTCATTGTCTGCAATTTTTCATGCTGGTTTGTAAATACAGGATGTAGTCCAACAAATATTCATTCCATCCTATCGGTTTTGTATGTTAGTTCCACTTTTTCACTGTGTTTGTACATAAAAGCATAAATTTTTGATAAAACTTCTGACACTTTCCGTTTTTTGTCAACTAGTGGTGGGCGCCTTCATATTTTCTCGCTGCATAAAGGCATATTTCAAGTTAACGCTTAATATGGTTTACAGCACGTGCTACTATTACTCGAAACATCAACTCACCAGTTTTTTTTCAAATCAGTGGTATTACATACCCATTAAAGGGAAATGGATAGTTGAACTCTATATATTAATTCATTATCCACAACCCAACTGGAAACTGTTAGCTAGTGATTCTGTTCGTGTCCAGCACTTCGGCGGTGTCCTTTTTGAGAAGTAATGAATAACCGTTTGTCTTACAAAGTTGTCTTTCTGTTCACTTTTCTTCAATCATCAACACACTTCTTTAAAAAGAGAATGATATTTTTTTGGAAGCTTGTAACTAGTCTCATATAGTCTATCCTTAAACCCTGTGATAGCGAAACCAACCATTCTTATATACTTGAAGTATATAATTAATAGTCTGAACGTAAAGGTCATACCTACTGATCATCTCTTCTACCGTAACATTTGTGCTATAGGGTTATGGTTTCCCAGACGTCCTGCCGTATGTGTTTCGGAGCATTTAACATCTGTAGTAAGTGCAACATTCTACTTCACCAGTTATTAGAATCATGGTTGTCGGATGTAACTATAAAATCGCAAAGTATGAAGAGCTGATAATTGCTTTTCCAAAAAAGACTTTAAAATATATCGACGTTTGTTTATAGTTCCGACTAATTAGCTAGTCACAATTTAGTTAAATCTTTGTAAACAACAATAGTGACACATTATTAAGGGTAATGTTAACATTTTAAGTAAAATGATGGGAATGAATATGGCATTAGTTAACACCGTCTATTAAGTGTGTGATTTTTAAGGCAGTATTTGATAGAACGATCGGGAAAATTATATCAACCTGGATGTTTATAGATGCGAAGTGTTTATGTTTGATATATGGAGAATTATATCTACGTCAATGACTGATTTTTAAATCATCATTTACACCCGAGTCAACTATTCTTAAGTCTGATCAGGTTTTCCAAACAAGCTTTAACTTAAAATTTTCACGGTTATTAACGAAGGAATGTATGTTGTCATTTTGTAAAAAAAACACAAGTTTATTCCCGATATTGTCTGCTGGTATCCATGGTTAGATGTCAATAACTAAGACAATGATTGTCCAATCAAATCGGTTCATTATTCACAAGACTTAATTTCTTATCATATTATTTATACTACTTAAAGTAAACAAATTCTTTATGTGAATATACCGCTATACTGGAAACTATATATATCTTGCTTGTTTGAGGTCAAGCCTATCAACGGTGTGACTTGAAAAGTCTGTTAAGAAGAAAGTTTACGTCAAACTTCTTGAATCAGATCAATTAAATAGGAAGTGCCACAATACAAAATTAGGTTAAAGATTTCTATCTACCTGTTTTATTCCCTAAAAATTATGTAGGATTTCATCAAATACATAGTTTAATTTAGATTGTTGTATAACATCATTAGATAATGTCTGACACATTTATACATCAACTCAATGAAGAGGAAAGTATTTTAGACATATACTGTATTATGTGTTACATCGTACGCAAAACAGAAAATATCAGTCATTTTCTTTAATGTCACATCAATAAAAGTGGAAATAAGATGCTTTTTCCAAATATTATTGATCCACCTCATCTCATGTTTTTCTACTTCTCATCGTACCGGTCATCGCTGTATAAAATATGAATAAATCTGAATCATTCCAATGTGTAGAATATTGGAGTTATGATGCTTTGGGACTAGTGTAGGTCACTTCTTCAAAATAAAACAAATTTAGTTAGCAGAAAGAACAAATATTTATTACGCATAAATAGGTGTTGTGTAGGCTACTGATGTCAACAGATATAAGTACTATGTATCACAAATCCAAAGCGGGATGCTTGGCTACAGAAGGTTGAGAAAATCGAAGAGAAAAGATCAAGGACAAAGAATGATTAGTATGTAAACGAAGAAACAACAAGGTCTGTCGCAGTTAATGGATATTTCGCAAATGAAGTATTATTGTATGGTTCTCAGATTTACTAAAAGATTCTTTAATTCTGCTCTCAAATATACTCGGCTGTCCCCGCCTGTATTCTCGTTCACTACATGTGACCATACTAAAGCCTATTTATCTACATCAAGGGTGATTTCATATCATGTAAGTCTTTTGTGTTCACATACATCATATATTTCTTCTTATATAACTACTATTAATAACTAATTTACCAACCTGATTTTTTAATTCTTTTGCAAGGGTTTTGTAAACTGTTTCAACTTATTTGTACAATAATAATTTTGAACATTAAAATCATCAAATTTCCCTGTCTTTCAATTATCTGGTTTCATTATTAACTCAATTTGTAACCGTTAAATGACTTACCGACATTTGATTGGTATGAAATATATATATCGATTTTGAGAAAAATCAAAAGTGGGTATTTCTTTACTCAACTCTTTTCTCTAAATGAGGAATTTTATTATACTGATATTCAATCAGTTAAACTAATATGAACACTTTTTCTTACTTGTGCTTCACATCAAGCGCGTTTATTACTTTTGTTTCTGATCCATATTTATGGCCAGGAATAAACTCCACTCTCCTTAGCGACGAAACTACAACTCCATTATACAACGGACATGTCAAGTGTAGCGCATTCAGTCATGTAAATCACAGCATTCTAAAATTCATTTCTCTAATTAGTTCTATAGGACAAATTACTTCAAAATATCTACAAGTGAGTGGCCAGATAAACGAAAACATAACCTTAATTGTTGACTACGATATCACTCAGACGAATATACAGCATGGAGTTTATCCGCGGTCATATGTAGACGGTAAACGAATAAATCTTCAGATTCAGTAACTTTTTATATTCTCTCCATAATATTAGAACAAATAGTTGGTTGCTACAATAAAGCAGAAAATAAAGTGAATTAACAAAGGTTTTCATGGACAACAATCTATGGTAACGTTTGTTAATGTCTCAGAAATTCACATTTGAAGCTCATAAACTAAGTGTACCTACTTAGTCTAGTTTAGAAAAATTTACCCGAAAATCAAAATAAATTCATTGATTTATTCTGAAAAATTTCTTTTTATTTGTTTCAACCAAATTCTTTACGATGACGATAACACTCATGACATATAACAGTAGCAACACTATAGTAGGTACCCGGATGATTTAAAAAAATCAGTCAACAAAACTAAATTAAATTATTTAGGGGTTAAGGTGTTAATTTCAAAATCTTGAAGTTCTGAGTATGATCTGATCTGTAAGAATATTTGATATGTAAGACTACGCTTGTTGTTAAGTCAGCAAGATTAACTTCTTATTCCTGAACCAGGAAAATTAGTCTAATCGATTAGTTATTTGGTATAATGAATGCAGTTGGATAATTTAATTTTTATGATAGATGTCCAAAACTTTTTATGTAGGATTGTCTATTCAGTTTGTTATAATAACTATTTCGACATAGTGAAGAAACTTTACAAAACTAATGAGGTAAACTCTCATCTTAGTCAGTTGGGTATTTCATATCCAATGCCTAACAATGATCTGTGCTGATTTATCGAATAAGAACAGTCATTACAATAGGCAGTAACTAATATGAATCGATAATAATACTTGCATCAAAGTATATATGACTGGAATATCCAATCAACATTTGGTTCGTCTACTTGTGATTATGTTAATTTCAACATTAATAAACACTGTATTTGTAATCTCTCGTCACTGATTTGCTAAAACCGAGTTAATTATGTTTATTTATTTGTTATATAAATAAATATGTTTGGTAACTGATTCAGTTCATTTTTAATAATTGAACTTTGGACTTATGTCAATTGTTTTTCCAATCTTACATTTTCTAACTTTATTGTTAACAGTGATCATAGTTTTTAGTTGTGAACATCAGTCACATATTATTATAGTGAATACATGGCCATTTTCAAATGCAACCGATGCTGGTTGGAACATCCTTAGTCCATCGAATTCCAAAGTATGTGGATCATCAATAGATGCTGTCGTTGCTGCATGTACAAACGCAGAAGATGATCCAAATATTGAGAGCGTCGGTTATGGATGTTCACCTGACGAAAATGGACACACTTTATTAGATGCAATGGTGATGGATGGTAAAACAATGGAGGTAGGCATGTAACAAACGTTTTATATATGATAATCAAGTATATTTAGTTTGCTAAGTAAACTTAAAAAATAATCCATCGAAGGACAATTATTCAAACCAAATATTAATAAAATGAACTAAACTTGAAAACGCCTTATAACTTTTAAAGTATTCGTTAGTTTAATTTTTTAACTAAGTTCAGTCAGTCAGTCAGCTACAACGTAGGACAGGCATATATATGAAGTTACCATACATAACTAGCACAACAACATGAATACCAAATTCATAGAAGCAGTCACTTCGATGATAGTAATATACAAAAGAAAGTTTGTATATAAATATATCATACAAGGAGAAAGGATTAGTTCGTAGAAAGAAAGGTATAAGGCAATTTTGATCTTACAGTTTAACAGAAGATAAAGAGTGTATACACCTGCGTCATTGTGATCGATTCTAAACCATGTCACACAGAGTCTCAAACCATTGGTAACGATAGTCGCGTTTACCCCAACCAAGTAGTCTGCATCTACCAACATGGCCCAGACCAGAAGAGTTAGTGACGCTATGGAGTAATGCCACGTTTTGGTCTGACCGCCCCCAACTCTCTTCCAACCATCCCCAATACTAGTCAGCATTTCACTTTGTGGTAATCGGTGTTAGGGCGTGCATAGTACATGGCTAAAACATCTCAGTCGACAGAAATTCACACTCCCATCAACTGATTTACCATCGCTCCGTAATGCCCCGCGTCTAACCTCATTATTACATACCTGGTGATTCAAGCAGATGCGAGCAATATTTCTAGGACATTTGTGAGCAAATACTAGTAATTTATGCGTATCTTCTACTATTAATGGACAAGTTTCGCATCCGAAAAGTAGAACGGAACGAACTGCCCCGCAGTATACTCGCCCCTTAATTGATAGACGGATATCTCACCTTCGCCATAGGACACGTAAGCCGGCAAAAGCCAAACGAGCTTTCTGAATCCGTGCTGAGATTTCGTCAGACACCAACAAATTAGGGCTGATCAGACTTCCAAGATAAGCGAAGTTGTCGACGCATTCGACTACTTCACTCCCAATCCTTACTTCAGGTGTTGACAAAGGCCAGTCCTGAAGCAACAATTTGCATTTAGAGGGGAAGAAACGCATACCAAACATCCTTGCATTGTTGCTCAGCGCTACCAAAACGCTCTGCATTTTATCATCATCTACATATTCTAAGTCGATAAGTGGACCTCCTGGAAGGAGATCAATGCCCGAAAATTCAGTCGACGAGAACGTTATTTCCAGCAGTAGGCCTGCTATGAAGTTAAACAAAAATGGGAATAGTTGATAGTCTTTTCGGACACCAATTGAGGCTGCGAAATCAGATGACAGTTTGCCATAAGCTCTGACTCGACTAGTAGTGTTTGAGTAAAGAGGCCTGACAAGGTTTGTGTACTTCTGAGGTACAACTTTCAATGACAGACACTGCCACAGAACCTCTCGGTCTACAGAGTTGAATGCTGCTTATATGTCAAGAAAAGCTATCATTGTGGGACGCTGATAAGCATGTCTGTGCTCTAAAACCTGACGAATATTCGATGCAGCCACGAACAGATCTGAAGCCAGCCTAATTTTCTTATGTTTGCAGTTCACGAGTCTTTGTTGGTCGTCCGATAATTATTGAGGCTAGTATTTTAGATATTATATTAATTAAGCTGATTCCTCTATAAGTTATTACAGGATGATTTTTACCCCTTCTTATATATTGGGACGATCAGTGATTGAGACCATGTATATAAGATTACGTCCAGTCCCCAAATTTTAGCTAAAATATTAGTCAATCTATTCGCTGAAACTTGACCACCATCCTTAAAGACCTCTGGAGTTAATCTATCTTGACCAGCTGCTTTTCTTCGTTTCAGATTAGCTAGAGTCGTAGAACCTATTTCAATGTTCCATTCAAGCTGTTTAGGATTTCGCCTACAATTCAACTTAAATTAGTTTTCGGTTATCCCATTGTTGATGTTTTTACTGAAATTCATTTAGTCTTGGTCTCTTAGAAACATTTACCCAAACTCAGAAAATTTCTAGTTGATGTAGTATTCAGTAAATCTGGATATATTTTTTTTTAGCTTAGTACATAGAGTTACTAAATGACTTAGAGGTTCGGAATTTGACAAGTGCGTGTTCACATATTGATATAAGACAAACTACTATCCTTCCATTTATTATTTAATCATTTGAATTTGAGTAAAAATGATTAATACACAAAAAATTTTGAATAGACTGAATACAAGTCGTATGTTTATACTGCATTATTTCGTTATCTTGGTTCAGTCTATTGAAAGATCCTTTCTGTAAATTCTAAACGTATTGTTTCGTGGTAAGAACATTCTTACCTTGTTTCAGTTATAAACAATTCTCGGCTAATACCAATGATATTTTAGAAATTATCTGAGATTTTTCTTTGAAAACTACATTTTCGCAGGTTGGCGCGGTAGCATCAATGCCTGATATTCGACAAGCATCCAAAGTGGCACGTGATGTCTTATTAAGTACAGAGCATACATTAATAGTTGGGCCGCTTGCAGCGGAATTCGCGAAGTCGAGAGGATATACGCCAGCTTCATTGGATACGCCTAAATCGCATGATTTATGGCTGAAATGGAAAAAGAACAATTGCCAACCAAATTTTCGTAAATCAGATTGGATTCCAGATCCTACAATATCATGTGGACCATATAGACCGAACGTTTCTGGTAAGTAGTAATACAAATGATTGAGATTTTGAAATAAACTGACAATCCTTATTTCCGTGCTAAATAAAATATCTGTCTATAAACTAACTGTGATATTCTCGCCAAATCGCATATACAGTTGTGAGTCATTTCGGCTGATATATGCTATAACGTCGGAATGGAGCGACTCAAGGTGAATATGGGACCTTAACGCTCTTTAATAGTTAATAGAGGTACATTGTTTCCATGAGGTACCTATCAATAAAGATATGTAATTTTTTCGTTTAGTTTATTTATTTCATCTAGATTTGTATCTGGTCTTCCCAATTCCATACTTAGGCTATGAGGTTATTGGTTCCATCACACCATGATTTAAATGAATGCCATATTGATCTGTGGTTTCAATGTTTCCAGCTACATATTGATTATCTGGGATATCTCCAACTATTATTAACACCTTTAATAAAAAAGATGTTAGCAGTATGTAATTTGCATAACTGGTGAACACATCTGTAATACTAGAATCTCTCAAGTACATAACCATCCATTTAGATTCTAAATATTCTGCGTACTAAAATTACATATATATATATATATATATATATATATATATATATATATATTGAAATTGTACACATTATTCACTATCAACTAATTCTAATTCAATTAGAACGATATTGTCTTCATTTAAAAAAAGTTGGTTATTGCAACTCACCTTCCAAGTATGCGTCTATGAACTGAGCTTTAAGCTGAACTATTTATTTAATGATTACTACTTATACAAGTGCCGGAACTAATGTAGTTTACAGAAAGGCTCTAACTTCTGACACACTTGTTCAAGGCTGAATACCTTATTATGTAACCTCTTGATTTATATATTTATAAGAAAAATCAAAATCGGTATTATCTTACGATTAGATCAATCTACATTCGGATACTTCAATCAAAGTGAGTTATGTTGTTATATAAAAACGCCTTAACTATGATTATTTACAATCATACGAATAGGATTACGATAACAATACAGGTAAACTTGATAATGAATAGAATTATTGTTAGATACTGATTTTGCAATAACGTTACTTTTTACTCTAACAAATTAGATGTTGATTTACTTAAATCGAGGGATAAACGTGTCAACAAATTAGATGTCAATAATCACGATACAATTGGTGTGATTGCTTTGGATGCTTATGGTTCAATGGCTGTCGGTACATCAACCAGTGGATCAACGTATAAAATTCCTGGACGTGTTGGAGATTCACCTATTCCTGGAGCTGGTGGTTACGTCGTGAATAATGTATCTATAAAGTTTTATTTTCGTTAAACCTTTTTATTGGAATGAATTGTATCTCTGATAAAATCAAGAATTTTGGTATATTATGATCTTATTTTGATGAATAATAGACTCCACTAGCATAGTTTAGTTCACTGAATATTAGGTCTTTAAAACTCGGCTTTTTATCAAGGACTTATCTATTTTATACTGGTAGAATGTCCATTTTTTTGTGGATTAAGATCATCACCAAAAAGAACATACTTGTTGGGATAAGCTTGTATGCCACTATATACAGTCAAGATAACAATCTTGGAGTTTGAGCGTAATTTTTCGCATGATGATCTCTGAAATCTAATTTACTCTTTCGTTGTTATTAACGAGTATTCAATGTACTATGATTCTCTATAGACTCCAATATTTACGGAAACACTATGAAACTTAGCGGCGTATTTGATGAAAGCTAATAAATCTGTCAGCTTCACTCGACTTCTCTCCCCATCCTAAAGTTTATTTTTGTGAACGAAATATCTCTTCCTTACGAATGTTTTCAAACAATTTAGTTATGCATCTGAGGATGAAACGGCCGGCACTGTTTCCATGTTTCCAATCGTGGTTTAGCTAAGATGAGTTTGTTATTTCAACTGTGAAAATATCTAAATCCATTAAAAAAGATTTCAATTAATCAACGTTGAATCCAGAGAACATTCGCTTAGTTGACTTATGACTAAAGCCTTAGTTGATGAAATTTAACATTACCAATACGAAAAAGATAAACAAATTTTAATGTATAAAAACAATCAACGGAGAATTACAAATACGAAAATGGTTGTAATATCTAGTGACTTATTTATAAGACGCGTTACAGCTGTCATTAGTTGTTAGTTTTTTTAAGCCTAATTACTTGAATACTCGATAAAATTTCTATCCACTATATATGATCATTGTATTGTATTTTGAATTTGTTAAGATTGGTGGTGCTGTTGCAACTGGTGATGGAGATCTTATGATGCGCTACCTATTGAGTTTTCAAGTTGTTGAATACCTTCGTCAAGGAATTGGTCCGAATGAAGCTTGTAAAAGAGCTTTACAAAGCGTGAGATCGGTAAGTATGCTACTAATTTACTTTGCCATGAAGCTTCTACTAAAATTTAATGTGATCAGTCATTTCTGTATAAAATTCCTTTTCAAATGTATGTAATAGAAGTTATTTCTAAACACCAAGCACTATAGTCTTAAGAATTTGTAGGTGTTATTCAATTAACTATATGAGGTGGTTATTTTGACGTTTTAACATAAATGATATCGGTGACCGTACGTGTCTTAGATTGTAATGTTCAGTCAAATGACCGCTATTTTCATTGCGAGACTAGGTAACTTTAATAGAAATCGAACATTTTGGGTAACATAACTCAGAATCGACCGTGATATTTGCCTTAATCCTGCGATTCAATATTATTTGGTACGTTTTATTCCTCAAAATTGTCCCTTATTTCCGAATTTTATTATCCGAAGCTGTATTTTGACTTATTACTTCGGCTGTTTTGCCATTCCCTTTGTTGATTTTTTTTTAATACTGATATATTACAGCAATCTGCGTGAACCCACAATTATCCCAAGCCCTATATTGATGACTGACTGATTTGAGGTTTCAGACAACTAAATTTTAACTGCCCCATTCTAGTACCTTGCAATTCCCTAAAACACTAAGTGGAAATAACGCGAAAATTTATGAATTTGAAGCATGACTATATAAGTTCGACCTCGTACTTTCCTAAATTTATATTACTCCAGGTAATAACACAAGTCAGAGTAGTTGAAAAAGCGATGTATGTAGTATATATATTTCTTTTGTCTGTAGGTTCAAGATCATAACCTTATCGAATGATTCGACCAACTGCCTTGAAAATCGGCGCACATCTCTATCATCTTCCACCCCACATGAGTAACGTGCTTAGATTTTATGGATCAAACACCTTCAATAATTGTTTCGCAGAAATGTACTAGGACCGAAAGAAATGTTGAGGGATGTGCTCACATTTTTATTTGAACTCAAATATTTTTCCAGGACTGAAGAAAACCTGAAGCTTTTAGTATTCATTTTGGCATTTTATCAGGGATCAACTCCTTAAAAATAATATATTTCTCCATATAGGAAAACGAGTTAATGTAATAAAACACATCATTCTCTATTCCTAAATTGGGTTAGTTTGAAACCATCCTTATAAATTTGATAGGTATAAATAAAGGACAATCAGTTTAATATCCATGAATCTCTTCAATAAAGCTGAATTCGAATAATGAGATTGAAAATCTATGATAATGATACTTATTTGATAGTAATTAATCTACATGAATCAAAGTACTGTAGTAAAGTTGAATTATTTATATTGTTTAGCCAAAAAAATGGTATGGAGCTTTAGTCGCTCTTACAAGTCAAGGTGAACATGGATCAGCTTGTGTAGGATTCGCTAATTTCAAGTACAGTGTTCGAGCTTCGTGGATGGGCAATCAAACTAAAATAATTGCTGTACCTTGTACTGAATTGAATGAACTATGAACAAATATTTTTACATGAATGACTATTTACTTGACTGATTTTTTTTTTTAAATCAATGTATTTCAAGCTTTCTTTTTCTGTGGTTTATGATACAAATTTAATTTAGAATAAAACAGGGTTATCTTTTAATAAATAATAAAGAAGGCGATGGTGATTATGCAACATGAACTTAGCAAAATTGACAATTGACCTATTTCCCATTATCAAACATTGAATCAAACCTTCATTATAATTATCACAACTGTTACACCTGTCATGACACTACCAATCTGTACTTTTCACTTATTATGTTTATTTATGTAATCTATTCCATTGTAATCTTTGCCTCATAAACTGCCTTGTTTATTTAATAATTTGGTATATGCATGTAAATATAACTGTATATTAGACTAAAGCCTGAAGATGATCTAATGGAAAACACTATTGTTTGCCAGTCCTGAAGCAACAATTTGCATTTAGAGGGGAAGAAACGCATACCAAACATCCTTGCATTGTTGCTCAGCGCTACCAAAACGCTCTGCATTTTATCATCATCTACATATTCTAAGTCGATAAGTGGACCTCCTGGAAGGAGATCAATGCCCGAAAATTCAGTCGACGAGAACGTTATTTCCAGCAGTAGGCCTGCTATGAAGTTAAACAAAAATGGGAATAGTTGATAGTCTTTTCGGACACCAATTGAGGCTGCGAAATCAGATGACAGTTTGCCATAAGCTCTGACTCGACTAGTAGTGTTTGAGTAAAGAGGCCTGACAAGGTTTGTGTACTTCTGAGGTACAACTTTCAATGACAGACACTGCCACAGAACCTCTCGGTCTACAGAGTTGAATGCTGCTTATATGTCAAGAAAAGCTATCATTGTGGGACGCTGATAAGCATGTCTGTGCTCTAAAACCTGACGAATATTCGATGCAGCCACGAACAGATCTGAAGCCAGCCTAATTTTCTTATGTTTGCAGTTCACGAGTCTTTGTTGGTCGTCCGATAATTATTGAGGCTAGTATTTTAGATACTATATTAATTAAACTAATTCCTCTATAGTAATCACAGAACGACTTTTACCCGTTCTCATATATTGGGACGATCAGTGATTGCGACAAGTCGAATGTGACTACGCTCAGTTCCCAGCTTTCAGCTAAAATATTAGTCAATCTAATCGCTAAAACTTGACTACCATCCTTAAAGACCTCTGGAGTTAATCTATTTCGACCAGCTGTTCTTCCTCGTTTCAGACTAACTAGTCTTTTGAACTTCAATTAGAGTCAGTGGGCACGTATCAATGTTCCACTCAGTCTATTTGGAAATGGTGGGTAGCTGTTGATTAGCTGAAGGCCAGCTGAAATGTTCCTTACAGTGTTCCATCCATCGTTCTAAACGTCTGGGCTGAGAGTAGAAGAGTGTCGTCTTTTCCCGAGATTGTCTCAGTTACACTTAACTTCTTAATTCCAGTTTCTTTTATAAAATTTGAAAGGTTATCTCATGTTACCTGCAGCTGCCGCCTTTTCCATCTCTTTTTCTTTCACTTTTCCTCACTACTCACGGTCGTTCCTTAGACTTTTGGTTAACCTTAATCTGATTTGTTTTCGCTCTTCATCGTGTTCGGATCCTGATGGGAAAAGTTTACAAGAATCTATCCGCGTAAAAGATGTAGCAGAAATCCATTCGTTTTTCATTACCCTTTGGTTCAAATAAATAATAGATGTCGCTGTTGTTTCCACAGCTTTTTGTATATCTTTGCATGCAACATCTGGGTTAGTCTCGTTTTCATGACTGCCTAAGTGTGACCTTAGTTATTCCTAGAATCTACTTTTGAATTTCTCGTCCCTCAGTCCAATTCTAATAGGTCTTATTAATATAGTTTTTCTGCGTCCAGTGTGAAGCAAGGAAATGCATGCTCGTATTAGAGCACGATAAGGGTCTAAACATGCATCCCAGAACGAGCGACAGTCTTCTATCGATCTTCTACAACGATGACTGATGGCAATATGGTCTATTTGAGTCCATCGTTGGGTTGGTATAGGTGGTTGCCGTGTTAGACGATGTCTCTCCGTATACTCAAATTTAGTGTTTACTAAAAATAAACGATTGTCTGAACACAGTTGAAACAGACGATTACCCTTATCTGTTCGCTGAGCCGGGATATATATATTTGGTGCCCTCTTGTACCAATATTTATGTGTTTAAATAAATAAATACTAAAATAGACGCCTAAATGTTTTAGGCTACCCGCTTGCGCATTATCGTCTGAGTGTCTAGCATAATGAAAAGGTTCATAAAGTTTTCACTTCATCCAGACTGCAGTCAATGGGAGCGTTGGCAGAAATGATGAAAAGGCAACGACGTATGTTCCTATTCTTCCGGAGCCGTATAGCCAAACAACACATAGGCGACTCTTAACAGGGATCCATTCTAAAAGTGATTCTTCTGCCCTCATACTTAGTGATATGCCTACACTCGTTCGTCAGCGAGACGTTTCCAGGAAAACAAAGGGTATGTCCCGTTGGCTCTTCGTTTTGGCGAGGTGAGGTCAAGTGAATGACCACACTAGGATCCTGTATATGTAGTTTGCAGACACAGCATACATCAATGGTACGAGATTCTAGGGTTTTAGCCAAGGAGGCCTGTTGGCCAATTTGAAGTGGGGTGTGTACGTTGAAGGCTCCATTGTGTAGTTTGGAGCGAGGTTTCAGTACACCTCAAACGGTGTTTCGCACACTAAAATCGTTGTCCATGGTGACACTTGAGAAGGAAGCCAAAAGAGGAAATTTAAATTTGAAAGTCGAGGTAGGAGGAATAATAGGAATTGAAGAGTGAAATCGATTATAAGTACAGTGGTCTTGAGTGCGGTCAGAGGTATGATGGCGCTTATCACTTCCCAGTTGCTTACACCGTGGAAAGGTTTTTCTAGAGGTATTTGTAAAGGAAATCAGGTTGAAGTTGGTATTAGTTACCTGAGAGCGTGACCGCAGTACCCAAGGGACAACTGCTTGGGGTCGGTCGCACACGACGTTTTTTGTGGATAATAATAAGTTTGACTGGTTGGTGAGTGAAAAATTATTCACACAGACACATCGTCTCTGTATATGATGTTAACCTGACTTCATACATTAATTGATTTATTCACTGAATTACTTATTCCTTTAGAATCTTATTTCTGACACCACCATAGATGCTTTAAGTAGTTATGATATTCCTCTACTTCTAAAACTACAAAAAATAAGCACATAGTTATTTTTGTTGAATATTATATAAAAAAATTATTGCCTTCTACTGGAACTCCATTCCTTATGTTTGTCTGTCAAAACAATATCTCTTTCTCAAATACTTTCTGAATCCTATCACCCATTCATCTTGTTATATCCTAACGAAGAACAAATGAATGGTAACTTCTAGGAATTATTTACGGACGATAACTATATATCTATTATTATACAGTCTCAGATTCACAAACACTTTTTTGCTTGATCTTGTATAGTAGTTATTTTCTATTTTATAGTATGATGCAGTCTGATTTGCTGTATATAAACTGCGTATGTCTGAAATACGTGATTCATACAGTGGAAGATGAGATTGTGTTCTCTGCTCAACAGGCAGGGCAAGACGAACCAATAAGGACTTAGAGTTGACTCCAGGCCGCTCGTGTTGGTTAACGCGTCACTGGTTTGGCACAGGGCGAAAGTCGTATAAGTCGGTGTTGAGATTGGAGATTTTATTACATGACAATTAACAGGGCAATGTCATAATCGATCTGAATGGCTATTCTGGTATAACTCAAGAAAAAAACTGTAGTGAAAATAACAAATTTATTGTAAAAACCCAACTAAATGTAAAAAAAATTGAAAACTTCTTTAACACATCAATACTGAAGTAAAAACACTTGCATCTAGAAGAAAAGAGAATAGATAAAACATACAGACAGCAAATAAATTGATTTACTTGAATATCTTCAGTTTGGAATGATTTGATAGGATATACTGAACCGGAATTAGTAACATTTTTATTGTTATTTCGTATCAAACTCCATGACATTGTAGGATTCTAAACAAACAATTTCGAGTTAAAAATTGGTTGTCTTTGACAAGAAAGTTTTAGTAATAGCTGAAAAAAATACTAGACGATCTACAAACATTGTAATGATGCTGATTAAATGACTTATAGCATCATTTTATTTGTTTCTCGAGTTATGTGTGAATTATTATTATTATCAATAATAAGTAACATACATGAAAAACACAACTACACATGAATGATAATTTTGCATTTTAATGAAAAGATGCAATTGGCTTATATAACGGGGAAAAAGTATATTTCCAATTTTGTATAACAAGAATATCTAAAGCTAGATGATTTGTTAAAAGTTAGATGCACACTTTCATAAAAACTAATTATTTAAATTCTACAGTAACCAGCCGAATACCACATGTTGTCATGGGAGCGTGTCACTATAGTGACTCTATTTACAAGCAATAATTATTACTGGCTGTAGACGAGATATTCAGTCTTCAGTCCAATATGTTCATCAAAAGGATAAACTAAATTATTTATATTTCAACTGCTTCTTACCTCATTTTGATTTGAAAATGAACAGAAATGTACCCATGGTTCCCAAGTCGTCTCTAAAAAAATGAATTTGAGACAAAGATGGATGATAAATCTATAATTTGAGAGTGTCAATAATGAAAATGGATGTACAAATGGATTCAATCAATAATGTTGACAAAATAACACTAAATAAAGTTTAAGTACTTTAGAAATCTGCTTTACATTTCAGGAAATGCAATTTTAAACTTAACTGCATCTATTTCAATTTGTATGGTCGGGTATTATAAGTATTTAGGTATGCCAACCCGTACTTAATTATTGAAATACCTTGACAACAAAACGTTACTATTGATGAGATCGAAATCGCACCTTAAATTTAATAGCTAATACGAATTAATATCGACCAATTATGAATCATTTTGTAAATAAGTGTAAACTGTAAATGCGACATTATATGTGCAAAATTATATTTGAAATAGTCTCAGCGATTGAAATTTAAATTTCAACCTCTTAGGGTTCTACTTAATGATAGGTAAGCTAAGAATATATTTGAGAAACAACTAGAAAAACAGTTAGGCAGCCATGTAAGTTGTGCTTACCCCAAGGCAGCGCAGAATGACATTGGAAAATCTGTAGAAACAGCAGTGATATCTGCTAATACGGTGAACCATAACGAAAAGCAGAGTCAGCTTAAGCTCAGGCTAGTAAGAAGCCTACGCGTCATTTATGGCGTAGGCGAGATATCCGTCTAGCAACAAAAGGACGGGTTTACTGTGCAGCAGTCCGTTCCGTCCTACTTTACGGCAGTGAAACATGGCCGGTAAGAGTAGAGGATATTCGTAGGCTACTAGTGTTCGATCATAGGTGTCTTCGACGCATTGCTCGTATATCCTGGAACCACCGGGTAAGTAATGCAGTTGTTAGGAAACAGGTACTGGGTAAGGATGGCAAATCAATTGATGGAGTAGTGAAACTTCATCAGTTGAGATGGCTGAGACATGTGTTACGTATGCCTAACCACCGACGTGCAATGTTTTATGGTGTAGGAGTAGGTTGGAAGAAAGCTAGGAGCGGCCAGACCAACACGTGGCACAAATCCATGAAGTCACTGACAGGTGGACTGAGCCATGTTGGTAGGTGTAGACTACCTGGTTGGGATTCGCGAGATGATAGCAATTGATGGTTAGAGACCTTGAATGACATAGCTCAAAACCGTTTGCAAAGGCGAAAGTGCATCCACTCTTTGTGTTCTACTAAATTCTAATCTTCTGAATTCTTCATGTCCGTATCTTTTTTCTCTTTCCAAGTTTATTTCACTGGACCATAATCCTTTGATAGCATCTTCAAATCCTAATCTTTCTGATTACTGCTTATTGTATCACTACCACTACCACCATAAGATTCGAATCGACAACTGCATCTCTGTGCTAATGTGGTATGGCAACTCGAACTGATGAACGTAAGTACGAAGTTCTACGTTGTGACTGACTGACCCTTCCCAAGACCTTCAGTTTTGTGAGCGCAGGCTTAAGCTTTTGACCACTGATTCGGTATCCAATGGTTTACATGTTTAAATTCAATTAACTCGTAATAATTTGCAAACATCTTTCAGTGTACTTGGAAAGTGACTGCCTCATAGTTTATATGGTTGAAATGCACTGATCACGGCTTCGCACTGGAATTCCAGAACTACCTTTAGAAATTAGTTACTCACTAGTAAGTAATTTCTAATTATTAACTAGGGGATGTTTACTAATATTTTGTGATATTATATGGTATTTTACAATGAATCTGAAAGAAAACAATCTAAAAAAAATTTTTTTGAACAAGCACAAACAATTAATTATGTGAACTGTATGTACATAGACAAACAATTCACATGTTTTATTCGTCATTAATTTAGTTTAATTAGAAAAAATGTGACCAACAAACATATTGCCGTCAAAACAAAGAACTTCAGAAAAGATAACAGAACCACCGAACTGATGTTTTCAACTTATTATGAACATTAACTAATGGATGTTAAGATTAATAATAGTGGAGTCAATATATGGTATGAAACAATGGGTACACATATAAGTTGAATAAAGATCCAGTTCAGTATATGAACAAAAAATTAATATTTGCACTTCACATACAGATAAACCTTATCGTTAGCACTATCGATAACTCATCGTTATACATCCTTACCAAACATTTTGTTAAATAGAAAGCAGTCTATTACTCTTTTCGTGAGGTATCTAAGACACAACTTTCTAACACGCAATAATTGTGGACTTATACTTTGGTGTGGGCTACTTATATCCGCATAAGTTGTATACAACGATAGTCAAGAGGAGAATGTATTTCAGTAGATCGAGAAGGAAAGAACGGAAATAAATTGGCATGAAAATTCAAATCTGAGACGGTTGACTCAGTCAGTCAGTCAGCTACAACGTAGGACCAGGCACATTTATGCATCGGTCCAAGTTGCCATACCTCGTTAGCACAACAAGATCAACACCGGATTCATAGAAGTAATTAATGTAGTGGTGGTAGTAGTATATAAATTATAGGTTGTATATAAGGATATAGTATAGGAAGGAAGAGAGATATGAAGCAATTTTAGTCTCAAGGTTTAAAGGAAGATAAAGAGTGTATACACCTACGCCATTGTGATCGATTCTGAGCCATGTCACCTAGAGTCTCCAACCATTGGTTACGATAGTCACGCGGACCCCAACCAGGTAGTCTGCATCTGCCAACATGGCTCAGACTAGAAGTTAGTGACTTCAAACACTGATGCCATCTTTTGGTTTGGCCGCCCCTAACTCTCTTCCAACAATCCCCTACACTAGTCATCATAGCGCGTCGTGGTAATCGGTGTTCAGGCATACGTAACACATGGCCCAACCATCTCAGTCGATGAAGATTCATCACCTCATCAACTGATTTACCATCGTTCCCTAATACCCTGCGTCTAACCTCACTATTACTTACCCGGTTATCCCAGCAGATGCGAGCAATATTTCTAAGGCATCTGTGGTCAAATACTAGTAACCTACGAGTATCTTCTACTCTTAATGGCCATGTTTCACAACCGTAAAGTAGAACAGAGCGAACTGCTGCGCAGTATACTCGTCCTTTAATTGATAGACGGATATCTCGTCTTCGCCATAGGTGACGTAAGTTGGCAAAAGCCAAACGAGCTTTTTGAATCCGCGCTGAGATTTCGTTAGACACCAACCCATTAGGGCTGATCAGACTTCCAAGATAAGTGAAGTTGTTGACGCGTTCGACTACTTCACTCCCTATCCTTAGTTCAGGTGTTGACGTAGGCCAGTCCTGGAGTAACAATTTACATTTGGATGGGGAGAAACGCATCCCAAACATCCTGGCATTATTACTCAGTTCCAACAGAAGACTCTGCATTTTGCCAGCGTCTTCACCAAACAGGACTATGTCATCTGCATATTCTAAGTCGATTAGTGGTCCCCCTGGTAGGAGATCAATTCCTGTAAATTCAGTCGAAGAGAGTGTTATTTCCAGCAACAGGTCTATAATGAAGTTAAATAAAAATGGGGATAGTGGACAGCCTTGTCGGACACCACTTGAGGTTGTAAAATCATATGACAGTTCGCCATAAGCTCTCACTCGACTGGTAGTGTTCGAGTAAAGAGCCTTCACAAGGTTTATGTACTTCTCAGGTACACCTTTCAATGACAGACACTGCCACAGAACCTCTCGGTCTACAGAGTCAAATGCTGCTTTCAAGTCAAGAAAAACTATCATTGTCGGACGCCGATAAGCGTGTCTGTGCTCTAAAACTTGACGAATGGTGAATATGTGGTCGATACAGCCACGACCAGGTCTGAAGCCAGCCTGATTTTCTCGAGTTTGCAGTTCACGAGTCTTAGTTAAGCGCCCGATAATTATTGAGGCTAGTATTTTAGATGCTATGTTGATCAGACTAATCCCTCTATGGTTATCGCAGGATGATTTTGACCCCTTTTTATATATTGGGACAATCAGTGATTGTGACCAACCGAATGGGATTACATCCGTCTCCCAGATTTTAGCCAGAATATTAGTCAACCTAATCGCTAAAATCGGACCACCATATTTAAAGACCTCTGGAGCCAATCCATCTGGACCAGCTGCTCTTCCTCGTTTTAGATTACTTATAGCCTTTTGAACTTCAAGTAGGGTCGGGGGGCCTACTTCAATGTTCCATTCAGGTTTTCTGGGGATAGTGGGTAGTTGTGCAGTAGCTGAAGGCCAGCTAAACTGCTCCTTAAAGTGTTCCGCCCATCGTTCTAAACGTTTGGATTGAGAGCAGATAAGGGTTCCGTCTTTTTCCGAGATTGTCTCACTTACAGTTGACTTAATTCCAGTTTCTTTTATTAGTCTGAATAGTTGCCTGGTGTTGCCTACAGCCGCTGCCTTTTCCATCTCTTTTGCTTTCGTTGCCCACCACTGCTCACGATCATTCTTTAGACTTTTAGTTAACCTAGATCTAATTTCTTTACGCTCTTCGTCATGTTCAGAGCCTGATTGGATGAGTTTACGCGAATCCATCAGTGAAATAGACCTAGAAGAAATCCACTGGTTTTTTGGAGCCCTATGGTTTAAATGACTAATAGATGTTACTGCTGTCTCCACAGCTGTTCGTATGTCTTTCCAAGCAGCATCTGTGTCAGTCTTGTTTACAGAACTGCCTAGATGTGAACTTAGTTGTTTCTGGAATTCGCATTTGGCTTTCTCATCCTCCAGTTCAATCCTAATGGGTCTTCTTAGTGTACTTTTCCTGCGTCCATTGAGGCGCAGACAAATGCGCGCTCGTATTGAAGCGTGATCAGAGTCTAAACAAGTATTCCAATACGAGTGACAATCTTCTATTGAGCCTCTCCAACGATGACTGATGACAATATGCTCTATTTGAGTCCATCGTTGGTTTGGTGCAGGTGGTCGCCATGTTAGACGATGTCTCTCCTTATGCTTAAAATTAGTGCTTGCTAAAAATAAACGATTGTCTGAGCATAGTTGCAACAGACGATTACCATTATCGGTTCGCTGAGCCGGAATACTAAAACACCCACCTAAATGTCTTTCTGTTTGATTCAAGCTGCCTACCTGGGCATTAAAGTCACCCGCTACGGCTACTATGTCTGAGCGCTTAGCTTTCTGAAGAAGCTCAGAGAGCTTTCTGTAAAAGTCATCTTTCACTTCATCATGGTTGCAGTCGGTGGGAGCGTAGGCAGAAACGGTATTTTCAAAAGGAACAGTCAAGTTTGAGACGATTGATATATTGCAAATGAAGTATTTACTGTATGATTCTCAAATTTTACTAAGACGTTCTGTAATTCTGAGTTCACACACATGTGATTATACCCATTAGTGTTCTTGTTCACTACATTATGAGAGTTTCAGAGATCTATAGTCGTATTAATAATCTTGAGGAAACAAATTGCAGGTTATTTAAATATTATAAATATTTCAACCTACCAAACTCTAGGGGCTGTAGAAAAGAGTCAAGAATTTTCAAACGAATCAGTATAATAGCAAAATACTCTTGTAGCAACGAGAAACAAATATCCTGTCTAAAAAACAAACAGTGAAACAGAAATTGATGGGGAATTACATAGTCATTCGCACGAAAACTTGGAGACAAATAGATTAAATTGAAATATATGAGCCGATATAAGTTAGACCACCATTGAATATCTGGAAGCATCGGACGGTTTTTTCGTCCTAATATAGGAGTTCTTAGCAATGCACATCCACGATCCCTCACGCGAGAATCGAACCCAAGACCAGTTTCACGGGCTATCGCCTAACTTTTAGACCACTGAGCTGAAATTCAAAGCTGGCTATGTCTAACCTCATTCAATTCACGAAACTGCGTGACAATCTTCTATTGTCTCCGACGGGTAACTGCTTCACATCTGACATGCATTAGCTCCTTTGGTCACGGCTTCTCACTAGGATTCCGGGAATTTCCTTTCGAAGCTATTCACTAGTAAAGTTAGGCGTTCACGCTGGGGACTGAAGGTCCTGGGTTCAAGTGCTTCACGCGCGACAACAGATGCAGTATGTTGAGTCCCCTACTAGAACGAAATGGCCACCCATATGCCTCCAGGTTTTTTGTCATGATCCAACTTAAATCGGTTAATTAACTCAATGAAATTCAACAATCTCTACAGCCCCTTACTGATTGAAAGGATTAGTCGCAGATGCATTCATGTACTATCCATACTTTGATGGCGAAACAGGGTTTTAGATCTGGTCAGTAGTATATCGAACAACAGAGATCAATGCAGGTTACTAGTTGGGAAATGTACTAATCGGTAAAACTGCATGCTAGAGTGGAAGGAGATTAGTTAGGTATATATGTTATTATTTGTCAAAACGTAAAATTCACGACTAAGTTAACAATAAAAATAATTTATGTTGTGACGCGTGGTGTCTGAAATCTGATACTGATACACCCCCCCCAAACTGACTACTTGAGTGAGAACACAAGAGTGAACGAGAAAGTGTATTGGACTACCGAAAAAAATGTAAAAATACTCATTCATATATATACCACCCTATCTTTAGGAAACTGACCCATTGACTCCAATGTAATGCACTTGACGTTTGGGTCACTTCTCATTGCCATCAAATGACTTTTTGCTACTTCCGATTGGCTTTCTATATCAATATATTTTTAATATCATAATGAGTAGACAAATTGAATTTTCTGAGGTTTCGTAAATTAGTGCAAGCCACTTCTTCAGAGAATAAATAAAGTATGAACAGTACAAAGGCATGAAGCAAGAATATTAGGTGCGATAAATCAAAAACCAGGTCTCCTTGACCGAAATGAGATGATATTGACTTTATCAGACCTGTTTTTTGATTTAATGCATCAAATATTCTTGCTTCGTGCATTCGTAGTGTTCATACTTGGATTATTTTATTTATTTTCTGAAGAAGTGGCTTACACTGAGTCACGAAAAGTCAGAAAATTCAATTTTTCTACTCATTGTGATATTACAAATATATTATTTTCATTATTAACAATGTTCAATTTCAGAAGGGGTGTTGTGGAGATTTTAGTAAGTTATAGAGTTGAGATCGTGAGTCAATTGAAGCTAGACCACCATGGAAAACCTGGAAGCACTGGACGGCCGTTTCGTCCTATTATGGGACTCCTCAGCAGTACGCATCCACGAACCCACTCTCGCGAGATTCGAACCCAGGACCTACCAGTTTCTCCACAAAACCCCTTCTGACAATGATCATGTGCTCACTAGTGACTGACTCCTTGAGGTATTTCCTGGAGTTCTAGTGAGAAGCAGTAACCGGTGGAGTTCAACCAGGTCTGTTGTGAGATAGTAACTCACTGATGACATTGGTGAATGGTTGTTCAATTTCGTGAATCAGTTGAAGTTAGACATTAACACCGTTGGATGCCAGCTCAGTGGTCTGTCGGTTAAGGGCTTCGGCTCGAAACTGGTAGGTCCTAGGTTCGAATCCCGCGAGAGTGGGTTCGTGGATGCGCACTGCTGAGGAGTCCCATAACAGGACGAAACGGCCGTCCAGTGCTTCCAGGTTTTCCATGGTGGTCTAGCTTCAATTGACTCACGATCTCAACTCTATAATGTTCAATTTATTTGAGATTATCAAGTCAGGTTAAGTTGAAAAGTAGGGAGCCAAATTGCATACACTTTCAAGTTGAAATACTCTATGTCTAAGGAAAAATAAAAAACGAAGACTAATTGACATCAGTCACGATTGGCTTTAGTGGAATAAGTGCATGAATCTTTTATATGTCTTCGAATCTTTCCTCTTAGTATCTGCTTGTACCTTGTCAACTTACGTCTTCTTACTTACTTACCTAATACCCTTCATGGGGTATAGGCCGTATACCAGGCATCCCAAACCAATTTTTTCTAGAGGTCTCCTTTCTAGTTGTTACCAACTTCTACTTATCCTTCTGACGTCTGTCAGCGGGATATAAATTGAATTAAAGCATATTCCGTGCAGGATTGTGTTGGGGCACGCTGATTGGTATTTACTAGTGCTAACGGATAGTTGGAGAAGACTCTGGAATCTTCTTTTGTAAAATTTATAAATATAATAACGTTTTTCGTATTATGATCCCTACTTCCATTCAACCTTATTTGGAATATAATAACGTTCCTGTCCAACCGCGTTCTGATTTGGGGACTTGTCGAGTGAAGTAGTGTCCAAAAATACTTAGCAATAAGAGTAGCTGGGTCGTATTAAGAGAGTTCATAACGTCTGTCTACAGTTCCAAGTGTCATGGGTATTTTGGTTTGTCTCCTTTCCTTTTGCTTTCAGGATCTCAAGCTAGGGCATTTCTCGCGATGTGGTTTGATGATTTCTGCAATGTATATCCTATCCACTTCCAATGTCTCGTCCCCAATTTTTCAGCTGGTTTGTTCCCTCCCATAATAGGCTGTTGCTAATGATTTCCAGCCAACGGACATTCAGTATCTTACGTAGACAATTGTTTATAAATGCCTGTACATTTTTTATGATGGTGGTTCTCCAAAATTCATCTCCGTACAGTGGAACTGTCTTCACGTTCGTATTGAAGATTCCCACTTTGATATTAGTTGAGTTGTTTTCAGTTCCATATATTCTTCATTTGTAGGAATGTTACTCTTGCTTTGAGTAATTGTGCCTCCGCATCTGTATCAGATCCTTACTATGTACTAATGATACATCCCAGAAACTTGAAGGCTTTCATCTCTTTCATAGCCTCGTCACCATGTTTAGTTTAGCTGGTGTTTGCAGTTATATCTCAGGATTTTCCTTTTACCGTCGTAAATGTTGAGGCTTGCTACGGTAGAATCCGTTTTAACTTTCGCGGTCCTTATCTACATTTGTTGCTGAAGCTAGTCTTTGCTGTTCAGCCTGAGTTTAATGGGTTCCACCTATTCTAATCAAAGCAGTGTTGTATTTTATTATTTCTATTGCTATTCTAATGTTTTTTTTCGGTCTCCCATGTTACCCCGCCTTAACTCTTCTACATGAAGACCCTTTAACTCCCGGACAGGAGTTTAAATGGTTTTTTCTAGTTGGTGTTTTCTTCAGCAAGATTATTTTTACGGGATGGAGTCACTAATCTGGCGCCTATCTCTCCTCCCTTATCTGCACTCGAGTCGGCACCAACCGTGGGAAGGCTCCAGGTGAAGTTTTACGTCCTCTACCTATTTTGAAAGTTTTTTAACTATGGCGAGTATTTCGATACGCTTACAAAGTAATATGACTTGATCGGGTTTACTTTTGATTATACTTCACTGAAATCTACTAGTTCATATACAAACACCAAATAGTTATTTAAGAATCTAAATTCAAACAAATATTTACTTTATTGTCGATGTTCCAATGAAATCTTTGGTTTGATAGGATATCAATGTTCTGACCAATAATATTAGGAACTGTGTAGCTGATCATCAAAATTTATTAATGTTAGTATTAAATTACCCTCCAAGTAATCTCCTATCCTTTTATTTGGAATTTATCTTCAAGCCGTTTGTTAACAAACAACGTAGAATGAGCCTTTGAAGTTCAAAATGTATTCATCAAGATAAAACCTAAACAATTTCTTCGTAATAAAAATACCCATTACGCTATATTTGAAATAGCGAAAACTATATCTACTTTTATCTTTGATAACAAAACTCGCTAAAATGAAGGAAATGCGCCAGTGTCATATGAATTCAACAATCAGTGATTCTCTACCAAGACGTCAAGATTGTGTGATAAATACCCGAAGTTTGTGCTGATGATGTCTTTCAGAAGGACGATGAAAACTCCACGACCAAACCATCCAGCTCAGAGAACAAAACTCCATCAAAATGGTGGTAAAATAATTTGACAGACGAAAGTTATCTCAATTTAAAATGCTTGCTAATAGAATCTAAGTACTTCAGGTACTGAAAAGACATATAGCTTGTTTCGAATTGACTCTAGTTATCACATCCTAGTTGATTAAGTTAGGATTAAATCACAATCATAACTAATAAACGTGATAAAAGCGGAGTAATTTGTTCGTTTATTCGATAGACTAATACATGAAAGTTGGATAAGTAAAAGCATCACAAGAAATTAAAAGAATGTTTTGCGGTAACAACGTAAATATCAAGATAATTGGAGTGAATCACTGGAATGTCGTAAAACAAGTAGAACTAAAAGATTGTGATTAACTACAGTGTTTTAGCTTCTTGATCCTTTCCCACTGGATCGCGGAATTTAATATAATCGATCTGTTTGCTTTTGCGCAAATAATTACTAATGTTAGATCTACGTAGTTCACTAGACATAACGAATTAGTACATAAACTATTAAAATGAACAATTAGTAATTATTATCCTCTCCAATAAAAAATTATCAAGTTATCAAACTTTCGCTAAACAGATAAACGACTACGAATGTATGAGCATTCAAAAACTGACGCTTTGTGTTAAACTATGTTTTCAAATGGGATTTTATGAAAACCTCAATTGAAAGCTGATTGAAACAGAATGATTTCCCACATTCTAATGTTTCAAGAAGCAAATGGTGTGGAAAATCAGGAGCTATGGAAAAAATTGAACATATTTAGTATTATAATATCTTAACTACTTCTAGGAAATATTAAAATCAAAGTTGTACGGCCGTGTATAATGTTTTCAGAAAATGAACAGCTCACAAGGATCAGAGATTAAATGTCAAGCATATCCTGATAGCCCAGAGTTTAATCATCATACTACGAAAAAATCTTACAATTTTCTGTGAAGGAGGAAAATGTCAATAACTCGAAATAATTTGATTTTTATCGGAATCTGACTATGGATGTTCTTTTTTTAAATGGCTTTTGGTTATATGAGATTGGATTAAAAGACCTTGTGAAGACCCTCTACAATTCTTCAAGAAAAGGGAAGGTGTTATAACAGAACGAATACTCTGGACTATTTTTCGGATTATTATTTATATCTCTATTGTATGATGAGTAGATAATTTCATTGTTGGATTTTTATGTTCCTCTTATTTTGAGCTTTCAGCTGACCTACTGACATGCTATACGTCTTACTAGTCCCTAATAATGTTTAATTAGTTATGCACTGTGTTCTCCTGTTTGGTGTACTCTGTAGTTAGGCATTTCAAGTATATTATTGTGTAAGCATTGATTCACAGTCGAAATTGGTATAATAGAGAACTAATCTACTCTTACCGAGTCTTGTGATTGGCTAGTGGGTTCGAAGGAACCTGTGAACCAATAAGTATTAAGGGATTGATTGCTATTCCTAGATCAATGTAGAAATTCTTGAAATAGGTCGCCGGTTCGATTGGAAATATAGTAGTTGGTATCGTTTGGAATCTCTAACCATAACATATTCAACGCATTGCCAAAATATAGCACTTTAACACACTGCCAATGATTATTGGGCTCCCCTTTTATGACCTCAAGCATTTTGTGCTACTTACACTAACTATATTCATCTATCTTATTCAGTGCTGTATCACTGATTCGCCAATTTGGATTGTTAGAATTTTGTAATCAAAGCTGCATGTGTCAATTAAAAAACGTTGTTTCTTCAAGCAATCAGTTATATATATATATATATATATATATATATATATATATATATATATATATATATATATATATATTGGTTAAACATTTGTGTGTTTAATGTCTTCGGTCAGATCATGGGACTGAATTGTGTGTAAGATGTATCTAATGTTACATTAATTTATTGCATGACGTTTTATTCTTCCATTTCCTTGAGATTTGGTTGTGGTGGGTTAGACATAGTAGGTGATACATAAGATGTATTCTTTGCATTCTTCAATCATATGGTCAAATTCTAAGTCACCAAACACATGATAATTTTGGTACACATTTGCAGCTATAGAATTTCATATGGCAAGGTAGTAATTTATCTTGACTTTTTAGTGGATTTGTGTCCATTTACATATTTACTATTAGTACTTATTAAGAAAGTAATGGAGTTAAACATTGTCGATAATAAATAGTCTAATTTTTTTAATGTAGAAATATTTTTAGTGAGAACATTGATGGCTTGACATAATTTACTAAAAAGAAGTTCCTTTAAAAAAAGTGTAATAATACTTCATAGCTAAACAAATCTCACCGGATAAATTCTGCATTTAGTTTATTGAACTGTAAAACAAGTGATTCAACAGGTTTCGATTCATATGAACTGGCCGAAATAGATTTAATTACAACACGAAACTCATCTATCTCCGAAATCTGAGGTCGTAAGGATTCAATACAATCGAAAATGTACTTCTTTACATCGGGATTATTGCAGGTCTAAAAATGAACAGATTGGAAAAATAGAATCAGTCTTTGAAAAAAGGGCAACACTGATGACCTCAATGTTATCTTATCAACCAATTGTCCTAATTTGTCTGTAGGAAGAATAAATGTTTCCTGAAAATTATCTTAAAAAATATAAGCCATGAATCCTACAGCTTTCTGATAAGCAAGTGAAAGCTTACAAGTACTTCTAGGGAACTCTACCTACTTCACCTATTTCTGGTGGCTTGGGAAAACTACGGTAGTCTGTAGTGTACATTGATTTGATTCTGAAGAGGATGTTAAATCGCCAAATGCAATTGCATTGACTTATTTACTGTGACTTGCGCTCAAGTGTTGACTGCTCAAATGATAAATTTTGTAATTAAGTCACTAAAATTAATCGATATATAATTAGACCGACTTCAATGTGAGTTAATCCTTCTGGTGTCTTCACCCATACATCTTTCTTCTTCCTCTACTATACTACGGTGGGTTCTCATCGAAGAGTTATAAATTTGTCATTTGGATATCCAGTTCACATAAATTGAGTTTCGTGTTAGAACTACCCAGTGATTTGTAATCTGGAATCACTGTACAGTAGCCATCCAAAACATTAACATATATCAGTAATGCAGTCCCGTGAGCAGTAATCACTACGTCACATCTCACCATTGCATATCATCGATTAACTAATATCCTATCCACTGATTTCAATAATCGAAAACTCGTTCATAACACCATCAATTCCCATTCTATGTTTTATTACTTTTCAGCTTTTTATAAAGTCGTAGTTTAATATTAAGAAAACCATAGATAGTAGGATGCATAAATGGCTAAAAAGTTATCTATTTAGCTGTTGTATTCAAGTTAGTTACATTCTAGTAGTTTTCTATGTCAAACTATGTTTCACAAAGCTTTATACGCCGTACTAAACTGTCCGTAATATTTGTACGTGGCTGTTCAGATATTATCACGTCTTACATAAGATATGCTGGTTACTTAAAAGTACGAAAGAATTTAAGCAAACACATTGTATGATCCCAAGAACAGCTATACTAGGACCAAGAATGAACAACGAGCAACTTAATGTACCTAAACTTAATGTTACTTAATAGAATACGAGTGTCCATTTAAAGTATAAACTTGAACCGAAGAACTTGGAATCTTTTCACCTTCTACATATTTGCACAACAGTGATCTCTACAATTTGGTGAAGCTAACGACAACTTGCAAAAGTGGTGTCTTATTTCCATTTGAAAGCTGCTACTTTAGTATGGCGACTGGGTTTGCAGAACTTAGTTAAGCTTTACTGATTGAAATGCATGTTTGGTAAGGACTTGCCGTACTATCGTTGAAAGACGGGAGAACTAAGAATGACTAATGCCATCGTGTAAATAACTGTTTATTCAGAAGAAAGTTTTGGAAATAAAAAGTGCTGTTTGTTTGGAAATGATGACACCACTAGGATACTTTAGTTTAGTAACGAGCACTGAGTTATCTAGTATTTCCGATCTAAAAATTTTTAAAAATCTGATAAGAACTAGATTTTTCCTTGTTCGACAGCTTTCCATCGGCAGCAATAAGGTTTGTCAAATAAAGGACAAAACTGCTTAATTATCACGACTTATGAAGGGCCCATATGAGCAGCAGCAAAAAAGTTCCTAACGAATTATTTCGTCCGAAAAACTTCAAGATATCGGCATACACAAAACGTCGCACTCTTAATCATACCAAAGTTTTTCTGCTAATCTATGGTCTCTATTTTTATTCTCTTCCTAGTAATAAAATAAGAAGTGCTACATTTTTCAGTAAACCTGTTTCAGTCAATCAGCTACAACCTGTTTACTTAACAACCAGTAATGACAGTCCGACCCTACAAAACAATAGCAACTGGAAACAGCCGAAGAGGATTTCCCAGGACAGAGTTTGATAGGGAATCCTAGTGGGCAGCTTATGCTCCTCCATGATGGGTGACAGGTGTAATAAAGTGTGTGGATCTGATTACAATTTGGTCGATTTCTATAAAAGGCTATATTCAGTATAAAGCAGTTATCTCATGAGCACCTATTTTCTGCAATTTTGGAATCTTTCGCATAGAATAACATAGGTTTAAACTTTTTGCTTAAATAGACAACTGTAAGAAGTGCGCTATCTTTATTTTGACTGCATAATGATAATTGTGTTAATCACCTTTTTTGATCCATAAACAAAACTGAAAAGGTAAGTGATATTTCAGTCATCAACTTTCTGCGTAACCTAAAATGATAACACTAAGTATTGCAATTTAGTTGACTGATCAAACATTTAACGCATATTTTGGAGTAAAAAGACCCTTGAAAATAAGATTTGCTGAATAATCAGTTCAATAACAAACTACAGCTGGGTTGCACGGTACATACATACTAAATACTTCATATGTGCCTTCTTGATGTCATATCAGGAATATGACAAAAATTCTCAAATATCGAATATCACAGTGACACAATTTAAACAGCAAGTATGACTAGATGAAAAATTTGGTGACCGACCAGAAAGTAAATCGGGAACTTGATGTTTTAATAGTAGGAGTAGTATTGAAGGTATTTATTGTGTCTCTGGTTATTTGCTTTAATTATATCGTTACATATTATCGACAAAAATAAGACAATAAATAATCGTACAGGGAGAAAAGCCTTTACTCTTATAGTTAATATTGACACACTAATCGATATCAAATTGAGAAAGAATTAACGAAGAGTAAGCAAAACTACACTGAATAGTCCTACAGTTATTTTTAACATGTTCATTAGTGGAGACATACTGAACGTATCCAGGCGCTGCTTACATACACATGGTGTGGTCTACTTATATCCATATAAGTAGTATATGGTGTTGGTCAGACATAGAATGTATTTTGGCAGAAGACCGATGAGGAAAGGACTGAAATGAAGCGCAATCGGTAGGAAAAAGCATGAACAATTTAATTAGAGAAGAAACAGTGAAGATTGAGACAATTGCTTGTTAATTTGCAAATTAACTGTTCATTGTATGATCATCAGAATTTACTGAGATAGTCTGTAATATTTGCTCAAAAGATTTTAAACGCAGGCCACTAAGTTTTGTGATTAGACTCCTCTAGTTATATTGGTTTTGGTAATCACTTATTATCACTATATCAAATGTAAAAAGTGGAGCTAAAAACCCAGTACATTGAGCTTTACATAGTTACTGTGCTCCATTAGATTTTAAGAACATGAAAATCAGTACATGGAGTTAGTTTTATTATTTATTTAAACACATACATATTGGTACGAAGGGAAACCAGATACATATGCGCCACAAAAAACAATGAAAATGGGAAGAGAAGAGGTAAGATGAGTATATATAAATAAAAAATAGGATTAAAAAAAAGAGAAGAGTAATGATGGGGGGATCTGAAATGTACAACCAGAAGACTCTTTCAGTTATAACCACTATTTATGAAGAAAGTAAAAGGTTACAGCAGGCTCGCCGACATGGTTTTGTCACTGGATGTCAGCAATCCTTCGGAGACAACGATGATCGAACACAGAGAGTCGTCTAACATCCTCAACTCGGAGAGGCCAGGCCCCACAAGCATAGAGCAAAACTGCTCTCACCGACGCGTTGTAGATCCGACCTTTTACAGACTGGCATAAGCCACTCTGGTTTTCACTATACGTGCATCGATCTCATCACTCACGCCACCACCAGCACTTATATAGCTACCTAGATACACGAACTTCTCAACTACTTCAATCTGCTCACCACCCAGGGTGAGTACAGGATGAGAATCCTGCCAGTCTTGTAGGAGTACTTTGCACTTGGAGGGTGCAAAGCACATACCGTACCTGCGGACACTGATTGCCAACTGATTAAGTGCGGATTGCATGCCTTGGGCATCATCACACAGTAAGACAATATCATCCGCATACTCGAGGTCGAGAAGTCGTTCTCCAGGCAGTAGATCCACACCGCCATTACACACATCCATCAAAGCTGTTTCCAGGATGTCGTCGATGGCAGAGTTGAAGAGGAATGGTGAGATTGGGCAACCCTGCCTAACCCCACTGCTCGAATGGAACAAGGGAGAAAGGTGGTTGTATGCCCTCACTCTGCCTGAGGTGTTCGTATACAGGGCCTTTAAGATGATAATGAACTTCTCAGGCACATCCTTCTTCAATAGACAATCCCAGAGAACAGTCCTGTCCAACGAATCGAAGGCAGCCCTGATATCAAGAAACACTACGATTGTTGGCCTGCGATAAGTATGACGGTGTTCTAACATTTGGCGGAGGGTGAAGATGTGATCAATGCATCCTCGACCAGAACGAAAACCAGCCTGCTCCTCGCGAGTTAATCTTTCTCGGGTTTTAAACAACCTACGAAGAATGACAGAAGCCAATAGTTTAGACGCAATCGGAAGTAGACTTATCCCCCGATAGTTATTGCAGGAACAACGTGAACCCTTTTTAAAGATAGGGACGACTATTGACTCATTCCATGATGTTGGAACACTTTCTTGCTCCCAAACCTTTGCAAACAACACCGTCAGTTCCTTAGCCAGAAAGTCACCACCATCTTTAAAAAGAGCCGGAGGTAAGTCATCTGGGCCAGGTGATTTGTAGTGCTTCAAGAGTTGGAGCTCCTTACGGACTTCCGCCTCGTTTGGTGGATCAGCCATCACCAGCCATGAGGGGCAGGACAAACTGGTCGATGTTGCCGGAGCAGCAGGCCAGTTGAACTGCCCTTCGAAAAATTCAGCCCATCGTCCAAGAGATGTTAGTGATTGGCATCCCGTCATCCTCGTAGATTGTTCCACTCACACCAGACTTCTTGCTGCCAGTGGCTCGGATGAGTTGGAAGAGTTCTCGGCATTTACCAGATGCAGCTGCTGCTTCCATTTCATTAGCACGCTCCAACCACAAGGCTCCTCGGGCCTTACGCAAGCTTTGCCCGATTTCATTACGTAACAGCCTTCGTTTGTGGTCGAACTCACTGTCACCCGGAGTAGA